GAGGTCGAGGTCGAGGTCGTCGAACGACGCGCTGTCGACGAGGTGCGACACGCGCACGAGCGCCTCGGCGCCCGCACTCGCGCTCGACTTGGCCATCGCCGTCGACGCCGTCGAGGCCGACTTGCCCGACGAGGCGAGCGACGCAGCGGCGGCCGCCGCCGCAGAGCCCTTGACGCGCTGCATGCCGCCGCCGGTCCACTTGGGGTGGCTCTTGGGCTTGGCGCGCGCCGTTGCTGTCGCCGACGCTGACGTCGAGTCGAGCGCCGACGAGGCGTCGGCGACGAGGGCGGACGCCGTCGACTTGACCTTCTTGGGGGCGGCGGCGGCGGCAGCTGCGACCTTCTTCTTGCTCGAGCCGGACGACGACGACGACGACGTGCCATTCTTGACGCTCGCGGCGCTCTTGGCGCCCGACTTGAGCGACGAGGCGCCGGACGGGGCCGACGAGGTCGCGGGCGAGAGAGGGCCCGAGGTCGAGGACGAGGTGGACGAGAGGGGGACGACGAGCGCCGAGAGGCGGCGGCCGTAGACGCAGCCCGTGTCGAGACCGATCCTGCGAGTGCGCTCTGAGTCAGTTCCGACCTCGCGCAGAGACAGTGCGAGAAAGAGAGAGAGAGAGAGAGAGAAAGGAGGACGCACGAGTGGTCCTGGACCTGCAGGCCCTGCCCCGCCCAGTGCCCGTACACGACGCCGACCTCGTCGCACGCCTCGGTGTCGCGACACTCGTTCATGCCGTCCTCCCACACGCCCCACCACGGCATGGCGCCCTTGCCCGCCTTGCGGCCCTTTGCGCTCACGGCCCACTCGCCCTTGCCCGCCGGGCCCTTGACGCCCTGGGCGTTGTGCGCCGCGCCGCCATTGTGCGTCAACGTGCGCATGTTGAGGAGAGTGAACGGCGACGTGTTGAGCTTGTCGACGAGGAGGGCCGTGCGCGCCGAGTGCTGCGAGAGGAGGCGCGCGAGCGACGTCGACGGCGAGAACGACAGGGGCGACGTCGAGTCGAGCGAGGCCGGGACCGTGTTGCTCTTGCTCTTGCTCGAGGGCGAGGCGGGCGTGACGCGAGACAGGACGCGGTCGAGCGACGACCATGGGACCATGCCCGCGTGTACGACGTAGCTCTTGATCTCGTCGACGTACAGCGTGAGCGGCAACTGCTCAAGGTACGCCACGTCGGCGCTCGACAGGTGCCGCGCGATCTCAAAGTGGTCGCCGCCCCACTCCCACCCCTCGGGCACGACGAGCCCGAGCGACGACTGCTCGGCGGGCGACAGCGACGGGTCGAGGTGCGCGTACGACGGGCCGACGAGCGCGCCGCTCGAGTCGTACGTCGCCGAGTAGGCGAGCGTGCTCGCGACATGGGCCGCCGAGGCGGGCGCGACCGTCGAGGTGGTGCGGGCGGACGAGGTCGAGGTCGAGGAGGAGGCTCGGGAAGAGGTCGACGAGGACGGGCGCGTGCGCGCACGAGACGACGACGACGACGACGACGCGACGCTGCTCGCCGAGGCGAGCGTCGTCGGGCGGCCAAAGGGCCTGCGACCGCCCTGCGTCGAGGAGGCCGACGAGGAGGAGGCCCGGCTGGCGACGCTGCTCTTGCTCGCCGAGGGTGCGCCGGCGCTGACGAGCAGGTCAAAGCTGAAGACGTCCGTGTCGTCGACAGTCGCCGTCGCGTCGTCCTTGGCGTCCATCTCGTCCTGCGGCTCCTCGAAGACCGAGAGCGCCGGCTCGTCGTCGTCGTCGTCCTCGGTGCCGTCGCCAACGAGCCACGTCATGAACGAGCGCTTGACCTTGCGCTCACGCGGCATCATGGGCGCGCGCTCCTTCTTGTAGGCGCCAGCCGCCGGGTCGTGGTGGTGGTGCGCCGCCTTGAGCTTGCTCGCGGCGCGGTCCTGCGCCGACGCGGCCGACTGGGCGACGCGCGAGAAGCCCGACTGGACCTGCTGCTTCTTGCCCGCCGCGAGCTGCTGCATGTTCTTGATCGCCGAGCCGACCTTCTTGACGGCGGCCGACGGGTGCAGCGACGCAGGTGCGGCAGGCGCGGTCGGGTCGAGCGGGCCGTACGCCTCCATCCACTTGCGCCACTCGAGGACGCGCTGGTCGTGGTTGCCGCGGACGCCCTTGGCGCCGAGCTTGCGCAGGAGCGAGACGGTCGTGAGCGAGTCGTTGAGGGCCGACTTGCCGACGATGTCGCCGACGTGGAGGAGCGTGTCGGCCGAGGGCGAGAACGACAGGCGCTTGAGGAGCGACACGAGCGACCGGTGCGTGCCGTGAAGATCGCCTGCGGAGCGAGAGATCGTGAGTTGGGGCGCATGGGGAAGGGGAAGGGAGAGGGAGAGAGGGACACACCGACGACGAGAAGGCGGCCGTCCTGGCTGTTGGCGTTGCCGAGAGAAGGGAGCGTCTCGTGCCACTTGTAGGCGGCGAGGGTGCCGTTGTCGAGGAGCGTCGAGACCAGCTCGCCCGCCGCGACCGAGAAGGTGCCGGCGACGGCGGCGTCCTTGTACGACGAGCTCGACAGGTCGCTCGACGTGTCGTCGACGTACTCGTCGTTGGTGTAGCCCTTGTCGTCGTCGTTGTAGACGCCCTTGTACGCCGCCGCCGCCTGGGTCGCCTCGGTCCACCTGGACGTCGCCGTGCCGAACGAGTCGCCGAGCGCGCCCGTCGCCGAGTCCCACTCGACGTTGGCCTTGAGCCCGACGGCGGATGCGGTCGCCTCGGCCTCGGCGACGGCGGACGACAGGGACGAGCGCCACCAGCCGGGCTTGTACGCCTCGAGCCAGGCGTCGTCGCCGACAGAGTCGGGGCGGAAGAAGGCGAACCACGCCGCGGCGCCGATCGACCCGCCGACGAGGAGCAGGACGACGAGCTTGCCCTTCCACCCGCACGCTCGTCCGCCCTTCTTGGTGCGCCCGCTCGCGTCCCTCCACCCGAGCGAGCCCGCCGCGCCCGGTCGCTCGTACCGCGTCGTCGGGATGAAGGCGTCCTTCTCCTCGGGCTCGTCGTCGAGGTCGCCCTTGGCCGGGCGGGTGCTCTCTGGCGAGATGGAGCTGTTGCGCGGGCGGGCGAGGCGGTTGGCCGACGAGAACGACTCGGTCGTTTCGGCGGACTCGGTCGTGACGGGGACGTAGAGGGCGGCGGACGAGCCGCGGCGGTGCAGGCCGGTCATGGCGTGCTAGCCGAGTCTGCAAGGGCGTGCGACAGGCTGTCAGTGCGACGGCAAGGAGGAGGCGGGTTTCGGGGAGAGGGCGAGGTTCAGGGAGAGAGGGGCGGCGAGAGCTCACCTTGGGCTTGTGGAGCGGTCAAGTCGAGCCAGCGACCTTGAGCGTGCGAGGTGCAGGCTGCTCGTGCAGCTAGAAGGAGCGACCGAGGGTGAGGATTGAGGAGGAGGGGGGAGGAGCGACGAGGCTGGAGCGGGTTGACGCTGGTCGAGCGGTGCCCGAGAGCTTGCGGTTGTGCCGAGTGCGGGATCTGCGGTCTCGCACATTGTGGCCTGCAGGCCGCGGCCAGGAGGCGAGTCGGAGACAACGCCAGGGGGCGAGCCGCACGAGGAAGGTGGCGGGCGCGCGGGGTTCGAATACAACTGGCCTTCCAACTGGCTTTACCGACTTGCAATCCAAACCGCTAAGGCTTCGTCGAGGCGACCGTTTGCCTCCGGTTTGCTCCACGGAGGTAGGGGAATCGTGTCGCTCCAGCTCTCGCTCGCTCGGCTGCACCTGCGAGTGATAGTCTGCACATCGCAAGCTACTTCCAATACCGAGAGAACGTCGCGGGAGTTTCGCCCAACGACGTCGACAGCTGCGGCGACTGGCCTGCCCCCTCGCCCTCGCACACCGCTCGCTGCTCCAGACGCACACGCCCCAGCACTCGCAAGACTCGCACCAACTCGCCGACGTCAACCTCCGCCGCCGCACCGACCCAGCAGCTGTGAGTCCTCATCAGCTCGCGCGCACCTCCCTCCCCCAGTTCCCACCCGGCATCGGCGTCCCCTCCCTGTGCGTCGCTCGGCGAGCTCGTGGCTTTTGCGATGACTGTCAAGCACCTCAGGAGGCCGAGCCATCCAGCCGGCGGACCCGCGCTGACTCTCTCCCCTGCCCCTCCTCCCGGAACCCTCGATCGCCTCGACGTGTCGCCCCCGTCCGCACACAGCCTTCCCACATGCTCCGCCTCGCATCATCGTCCCTGTCGGCATCACCTGCCCTCTGGGCACCGCGCACCCGACTCCTCGTCGCGCATTCGCGTCGAGCGATTCCCGCGGCCTCGTCGTTCCACTCGTCGCCGCTCGCCCTCCTCGACACCGAGCGCCAATCGCCGTCCAGCAGCAGCAACCACCCGCCTCCGAGCGTCAATGCCGCAGCGCGGCGACGAGTGCAGCCGGCGCCCGCCGACCAGGCCGCATCTGCACCGCCTCGCCCGTTCGACCCGCCGCAGCCCAACCCTGAACCGGCACCGCCCATCGCGCCGCCTGCGCCCGACGCTCGCGTGCCCAAGCGCCGCATCACGTCCATGATGGAGCTCCCCAAGTCGTTCGGCCGCAACCAGATCATCGAGGTGCCCGAGCAGGTCCAGCGCGACCTCGAGGACGTCCTCGGCCACTTCCAGGCGCCCGTCCGCTACGCGTTCGCCTACGGCAGCGGCGTCTTCCGGCAAAAGGGCTACACGGAAAAGGTGCGCCCCCTCTCGTCCTCCTCTTGCCCTGGCGGTCCCGGTCGTCTCCCTCCCTCCCTCGTCCTCGCCGAAGCTGACCCCGTTCTCCTCCTCGCGTGCAGGACAAGCCCTTGCTCGACTTTGTGTTCGCCGTCTCGCACCCGTCGCACTGGCACGCCATCAACATGCAGCAGAACCCGCAGCACTACTCGCTCCCGATGCGGCTCCTCGGCAGCAACGCCGTCGCCTGGATGCAGGAAAAGGGTCTCGGCGCCGAGGTGTGGTTCAACGTCGACGTCGAGGTCAACGGCAAGGTGCGTCGGACTGAGCCCTGCCGGATCTGGTTCGAGTCGACAAGCCCCAGACTGACCCGTTGCCGCCCGCAGCTGCTCAAGTACGGCGTCATCTCGGTCGACGCTTTGTGTCGCGACCTGCTCGACTGGGAGACGCTCTATATCTCGGGTCGCCTTCACAAGCCTGTGCGTCCCCGCGTCCTCGTCCGCCTCTCCTTCCCCTCGCTCACTCGTCGCCCTCCTTCCTCAGGTCCGCATCCTGCAAAACGACGCCCGGGTCCGCCTCGCCAACCAGGTCAACCTCGCCTCGGCCCTGCGCACCGCCCTCCTCCTCCTTCCCGAGTCGTTCACCGAGATCGAGCTGTTCGAGGAGATTGCCGGCATCTCGTACCGCGGCGACTTCCGCATGCGCGTCGGCGAGAACCCGCACAAGGTGCGCAACATCGTCGCGGCGCAGCTCCCGGCGTTCCGCAGCCTGTACGGCGGCCTCCTCAAGGCCTTCTGGAAGTCGGTGCACACGATCGGCGAGGTGCACCCGACCAACGGCGGGCCGCACGAGCAGGGCGGCGTGCGCCTCATGCGGCAGGACCTGAGCGCCGCCGTGCGCGCGAGCACGGCCGTGCGCCTCCCCGTCGGCCTGCGCGACAAGGTCCTCGCGCACTACGAGCGCAAGTGGAACCTCGAGGGCGCCATGCTGCGCGCCAAGGAGCACGACGCCCACGACGCGCCCGACCGCGCCGAGCACGAGGTCAACCTCGACGTGCAGTTCATGTGGGAGCGCATTGTCCAGGACGACGAGTTCAAGGCCATCATGAACCAGAGTGCGTCCCTCTCCCTCTCTCTCTCTCTCGCTCTCTCCTCTCGCCCTCGAGCCGGTCCCTGACTCGATCTCTTTCCCTCTTCAGGCCTGTCGCAGATTGTCGGCCGCCCGACGTTCAACCAGTCGCTCAAGGGCATCCTGTCGGCCGGTCCGGTCAAGTCGCTGCGATACGTCGTCCCTAAGCTCAGGAAGAAGTGGGGCGCGGCGGCGCCGCCCAAGCAGGTCGAGGCGGGCCTGATCGAGGCCGACGAGAACGCCCGGCAGGCCATCGCCGACGGCAAGGTCGCCGAGGTCGTCAAGAAGGGGCAGCAGTGAGCGCTGTCGCCGCCTCGACTCGGTCGGGCCTCGTTCTTCCACCTTCCCCCTCGTCCCTCTCCCTTCTTCTCGTCGTCCCCTCGTCGTCGCAGCAGTCGCCTTTCGTCTTTCGTTCCCGCTGTACCCCCTTGCGTCCCTCTTGTGCAACCCCCCATTGCCACCTCGAGCGCCTCGTCGCCGCGCCCGCACGCGCCCCTCGTTCCCCCTCCTCGTCGCCCCTGTACCACCTCCCACAGACGCTCGGCCGTGCCCTTCACTGCCCCCTCGACGCGCGCACTCTGCCGCTCAAAAGATCCGTGCACTGCAACCTGTTCCTCCAGTGAGCGACGATTCGAGAGAGCGCGAGAGGAAGGAAGCGAGGGGCTCGAGCTCTCTTTCTCTCTCGTGCGAGGCTCGGCAGGAATCGAGAGAGGGTGACAACAAGCACTGCAAGGTCTGCGAGGATGCGAGGCTACGGACGAGGAGGAAAGGCACGCGAGAGCGCGAGGGGAAACGAGTACAACCGGGGAGAAAGGGAGGAGGCGAGGCGACGCGAGGCGAGGGACGCTCAGCCCATCCTGCGAGCCGAGTTTGGGTCAGCTCATTCGCACTGTCGTAGTCGAGATGGGTTGCACGGATGGAGCGCGACGTGCTCGACAGAGAAAGGGAGAGCGGGACGCACTTCTGAGAGACATCGGCGGGCGGGCGAACGGCCTGGGCGAACGTGAGCTGCGTGCGGACGAGGGTCAGGTCGTCGTCCTCTCGAGCAGGCAGAGTTTCAAGAGAGAGAGGGGGGACGCACGAGACGCTTGAGGCTCTGGATGTACTTGCGCGACGTCTCGTCGTTCAAGACGTGCGCGACGTTGTTGCTGAAGATCTTCTCGCGGCCCGAGCGCTCGTGGATGCCGACCATGGTGACGCCGATCGGCCACGGCGCGTTGCCGATCGAGAGGCGCAGGTAGGCGTCGTTGGCGCGCAGGTACTCGCGCTTCTGCATGTTGTGCGTGATCTCGGCAATGTTCTGCAGCACGTCGGGCGCGAGCTCCTGCGTGGGTGCGGCGACAGCGTGAGCGCAGGTTCGACAGGGACAAAGAGACGAGAGAACGGGACGCACGCGCTTGCGGAGCGACTTGAACAACGGCTTGAGGTACTCGGCCGAGGTCGCGCAGGTCGCGGCGGCCATCTTGCCCTGCTGGCTGCGCTTGATGTTTTCTGCGGGTCGGGCGAGGGTGAGCGTCGCGTACTTGACGACGAGGGGGTGGACAGAGAGGGACGCACCTGGTCGGTCGGCGAGCGACTGCTCCCACTCTTTGAGGACGCGCTGTCGAGGGGAAGGAGAGCAGGAGGTCAGGCGGCTGCGAGGTGACGAGGTTCGAAGGGGGAGAGGAGGATGGACGCACCTTGAGGGCGTGGTAGATCTGCGGGTACACCTTGTGCGGGTTGGAGCGCACGAGGTCGAGGTCGACGAGGACGTCCTCGTCCTTGGGCTTGGGCTCCTTCTTGTCGCCCGCGGCCTCGAGCGCCGGTCCTGCCGCCGGCTCGGGTGTCGCCGTCGCCGAGCCGTCCTTGGGCGTCTCCTTGCCCTTGCCCTTGCCCTTGCGCTCGGCCGTCGCTGCGCCGCCGGCGTTGGACCGCCTCGCGACCTCTGCGAGCTCGAGGCCGATCTCCTGGCCCTCCATGGCGCGCATAAAATCGTTGCGCTGGCCCTCGGTGCGCTCCTCGATGAGCTCGAGAGCGCGCAGGCGCAGGCGGCGGTCCTTGTCCGACTCGGCAAAGAGGCGGATGGGGTGGCCGATGCGGCGCAGGCGGCGGACGCACTCGTCGTTCGAGACGTTGAACGCTTCGGGCTTGGACTGCTCGACGACGGCGACGGCGGCTGGGGCGGCGTCTTGTGCGCCTGGCGGGGCGTCCGAGGGCGGGAGGAGGGTGGTGCCCGTCTGCTGCTCCTTTGCGGCGACGCGCTTTGCGGCGCCGTAGAGGCGCTCCTTGCGCTCCTGCTCCTTGCGGGCGCGCTCGCGCTGCTCCTCCTCGTCGCGGAGGCGGTCGAGCTCTGCGCGGCGGATGTACTTGGACGGGGGAAGTTGGTCCGAGTTGGGGGCGGAGGGCGACGCTGTCGAGGTGGCCGAGGCGATCTGGTCGAGGGCGCGCTTCTTGGAGGCGATTTCCTGCTTGAGGAAGTCCATCGCAGCAGTAGCTGAGCCAGCCAATGGTGGTGGGAGAGAGCGAGGACGCCGACCGCTCGCTCGCCCAAGTCGAGGCGGGCGAATCGCAGCGACCTCGCCCTTGCCGCCCCTCCACGCACCCCTTGTTGCCACTGTGAGCACCAGCCTGTCCTCTTTCTCCGTCTCGCCAAAGTCCAGCAGCGAGCGCGCACTCGCCGCACCCACTTGCGCCTCGCCAACGACCTCGTCTTCGTCCCCCTTCCCGGCTCGACTCGCACGCGGCCACCACGGCCACCAGCAGCCTTGTGACCGACCGTGCAGTGCTCCTGCACCTTCATCAACGACGTTCAGCACCCTCGCACACTGTCGCGCCAAGCCCGTACTGACCCGATCCTCGTCCCTCTCCCCCGTCCTCTTGGAGCAGACCTCACCATGTCCGACGAAGAGAACCAGGTGCGCCACCTTTCTCTTGAGCATCTGTCCCCTCCCTACACGCCGTCTGCCTATCCGGCGGTCCGCTCTCCTCGTCATCGGGCGTCGAGCACCCGCCAGTTGCGGAGCAGCTCACCGCACCTCGTCCTCGCGCACCGCGAGCTCTCACTGACCATACCCGCTCGCACACAGACCGTTGTCCTCCAGACCGCCGGCTTTGACGCGCGCTTCCCCAACACCAACCAGTCGAGGCATTGCTTCCAGGCCTACGTCGTGCGTCCCCGCTCTCGTCCCTCTTGAACAGCTCCGGCGTCGAGCAGGGCCGTCCGCTCACCTTTGTATGCCGCACAGGACTACTTCCGCTGCGTCAACGCCAAGGGCGAGGACTTCCCGGCCTGCAAGACCGTGCGTCCCTCCTCCTCCACCTTCCCCTTCCCCTCGCACTTTCGCCTGGCCACCGGCTGACGCCTTTCTCCCCTTGCAGTTCTGGCGCACCTACCACTCGCTCTGCCCGAGTGCGTCTCTCGATTTCTCTCTCGTTCTTGTCCCGCACGGGTTACTGACCCTCTTCCCCTTCTGCAGACGAGTGGGTACGTCGACCGCCTCTTTCAGCGCTCGCACGGCCTTGGCGACATCAACTGACTCTATCGTTGCACCTCCACAGATCGCCAAGTGGGACGAGCAGCGCGAGGAGAACAAGGTGCGTCCCCCCTCACCCGTCCTCGTCGCCGCCTCCCGCACGACTGACTCGCGGTCTCCTCCCTCCAGTTCCCGGCCAAGCTCGACTAAGCGTGCCGCTTCGGTCGCACGAGGACGTGGTGGACGTGTCGGGCGAGGTAGAGAGGGGTCTTGGCGGGTGCAAGCCGCGGTGTGTTTCGTGTCGAGCGTGCGCCTGGAGGTTGAGAGCGGTTCTGCGTCGCGAGGAGAGCAGCTCTGCCGTTCCGATCGACTGAGAGGGCCAGTTGAGCCGGTCCTTGAGGCTGTAGGCCATCCGCTGTCCTGCATCGACAGACGCGAGGCCGCGAGCGACACCGCGAGGTCGCAGGACGACGACGACGAGGTGGGGGCGGAGACCTTCTCGCTCTCGTCCAGCCTCTCTCTGCATCACGAGCCAGCCGCCGGCTCAGTGCACACGATGCTCACATCTGCCGCCCTCGCCGCCTGGACCGCAGCGACCCTCTCGCTCGCCTCGCCTATCTCCTCCTCGGCGGCCGACCGTCTCGCCTCGATCCTCGTCGTCCCGCGAGACGGGCGTCCAATGGGCAGCGTCCACAACTGCGCACAGTACCACGGGACCGTCGGCGCACAGCACCTGAGCGACATCTACCACGTCTCGACTGGTTGCTCCGGCTCGGTCGGCCGCGACGAGTGGTCGCGCCCGCGCCGGCCCACGCCCGGCGAGCTTGCCATCGAGTCGACCGACGACTTTGCCTACCCTCTGCCTGGCGACGTTCTGAGCGGCGCTCTCGTCTGGCTCCACCGTACCACCCTCGACCTCGACCGCCCCACCTCCGCCATCGTCGAGCTCGCCAGCGCGACGCCGCAGCAGGACCAGCTCGCCTTCTCGGCCCCGCCGTCTTCGTACCCTCACCTACATGGCGGCATCATCCTCCCTCACGGCGAGGGCCGCCTCGTGCGCCTCTCGTCGACCTCGGACGCCGATGCCCTCGCCGAGCTCTCGCACCTCTCGTCGCACCCCGAGTTTGCCCTGTCCTCGCCCGTCGTCATCTCGCGCTCGCCCGTCGCCCTCGGCCGCCCCAAGACGGCCGGCCTCGGCCTCGGCGCCGACGTCGTCGACGACCGCTTCCCGACCGTGCCGAGGGCGGCTGTCGAGCGCGTCGAGGCGCACCTCGCCGGGCTGCGGTTCGACCCGCTCCTGAGCAGCCTCCTCGCCAAGCTCGGGGGCGACAAGAGCGTGGGGCGGATCAAGAGCGACGTGAGGACGCTCAGTGGGGAGGACCAGAGCCAGCTCGACGAGGACGAACGGGTGCGTCGCCGTCATTTCTCTTTAAGGCGGTAATGGCCTCCTACACGAGCAGCAACTGATACTGCGTCCATGCCTCGCAGTGGGTCTCGCGGCACTCGATGAGCGAGGGCGCCTACAAGGCCGCCAACTGGGTCACGTGTGCGTTCCTCGCCTTCCTTCTCTCTCTCGCGCCCGCAGCGCCGAATTGACCCTCTTGTTGGTCCCCTCGCAGCTAAGATGTCTTCGTACGGCTTCACGTGCAAGCAGCTGTCGTACCTCCCGAACTTGTCGCCCATGGTCGAGTGCGTCTACAACGAGTCGGCGCTCGGCGGCGACGAGGACGACAACCTGAGCGGCAAGGCCAAGGACGTCGTGTACGGCGCCAACGAGACGGTCGTCCTGAGCGCGCACTATGACAGCCGAGGCGTGCGTCCCCTCGCTCTCCCTCTCTGTCCCCCTCGTCCTCCTCGTTCGACGAGGGCTGACTCGTCTTCCTTCTCCGCGCCCCGCACACAGTCTTTCGGCTACCCGACGGCGCCGGGCGCAGACGACGACGCGTCCGGCACGACGCTCGTGCTCGCCGTCGCGCGCCACATCTACGAGCACCGCCTTCGCTTCGGCCGCAAGCTCGGTGCGTCGCCCTCTCTCCCTCTCTCCCTCTCTCCCCTCTGCCGCCGCACCCACTCACATCTCGCACTCCTGCCCCTTCGCAGTCCTGTGCCTCTTCTCGGGCGAGGAGCAAGGCCTCCTGTCGTCGTCGTGGTACGCCAAGCAGCTCCGAGCGCGCGACGAGGACGTCGCCTTCATGCTCCAGGTCGACATGGTCGGCTTCCGCAAACCGGGCGAGCCGATGCAGCTCGCGCGCCCGGACGTTATCGGCCTCGAGGTCGCGGGCCACCTCGTCGGCAACTACAGCGAGCTGTACGTCCCGGAGCTCGTCGTCGGGTACGTCCCCCTCTCGCTCTTCTTCTTCTCTCTGCGCCTCGGTCTTCCTCGCTCTGTGATCCGGTACTGAGTCCCTCTCGTTCGCGAGCAGGTACACGCCCGCATGCTGCTCGGACCACCAGTCGTTCGTGACCGAGGGTGCGTCTCTCTCCCTTGCCGTGCCACGTCCTCCTCGGCCTGACGCCGTCCTCCTCCCTCCCTCCTTCCCTCTCTCTCTCTCTCCCTCTCTTTCCCTCTCTCCCTCCTCCTCGGCCCCTCCTCCACCTGCTCGTCCTCGCCCTGTCACCGACCCCGCAGCCTACCCGGCGACCTGGATCTTTGAGCGCAACGGCGCCATCGCCGACCCGTGCTACCACGACTCGTGCGACCGGTCGGACCGGCCGGGCTACGACTTTGAGCAGATCGCGGCGCACACAAAGGTCGCGTTCGCGACCGTGTGGGAGACGGCCGGTGGAGCGCTGCCGTGAGAGGGGAGCGTCCTCTCTCTGGTTCTAGCTCTTTCCGCGCGCAATGAAGCCGTACATACTCTCGATTGCCAGGCGCTCTGATCCCGAGAGAAGCCGCAAGCTGGAGAGCAGTCGACGCTGGCTCGCGCGTTCGCTCGGTGGCCTCGCTCCTCTCGCACCGTCACATCGGCTCGTCCCCACCTGCTGACCTGCTCGCCTGCTGTACCGGGCCCTCTGTCGTCTGCAAGCCTGTCGTCCGAGCCCTGCGGTCATCGTGCGTCTCCCCGTCCTCTCCCCCTCGCTCATCAGTTGGCACGTCGACTCACCTCCTCCCGTCGCACACAGAGCTTGGGACGTCGAGACGAGTACAGCTGGCATCGAGTACGGCATCATCTCGCTCGCACGTGCCGCAGCAGCTTCAGGTGCGCCCTCGCCTCCTCGCCTCCCTCCCCTCCCCACCCACCCGCATCGCTGACGCACTCCTCCTCGCCCACACAGCTCGCCATGACCGACTACCTCACGCAGCTCCCCGCCGAGCTCTTCATCACGATCTGCGAGCTCGTGCGCGCGTCGCGCAAAGGCCCGTACCTTGGCCGCATCTCCAAGGCGTTCCTCCCCGTCGCCCGCCGCTTCACGTTCCGCAAGGTCACGGTCAGGACGTTCGCCAAGCTGTCCAGGCTGTGCGACGTTCTCATCGCGTCGCCCGGCGCTGCCCTTTACACGGTCGAGCTCGAGATCCTCCTGTTCAGTGCGGCCGTCGACCCGGGCGAGCTCAAGACGGCGACGTTCAACTCGGCGATGCGCCAGCTCAAGAACCTGTCGAAGCTCGCCATGCACAACACGGCCCGTTTCGTCAAGAGCATCTTTGCGCCAACGGGCCAGATGCTCCCCAGCCTGTGGTCGTTGACGATCCTCGACCGGTTTGACGGCTGGTCGAACCCGTTCGACCCGAGCAACTTCCGCCACCTCGAGCGGTACCCCGTGCTTTCGCGCTTCGACCTCGAGGTCAACCGCACCGTCGAGAGCCTGGGCAGGTACCGCCCATCCAAGAACCTGCCGAAGCTCAACTTCGGATGGTCTCTCTGGCTCGCCGGTCCGCTCAGCAGCAACGACGCCGTGCCCGACCTCCTCTCGTGCATCGACGTGATCGGCAACCTTGGCCTGTACGACAAGGCGTCGTCGGCCACAGCGACCCTGCCCGCCCTTCTCGACTCGGTCAAATACCCCTACTTCATCCAGGACCTCTCGCTCGAGCAGGCCGCCAACGACACGGTGCCTCTTGTCGCGGCCATCTCAAGGTTCCCGCGCCTCAAGATTCTCGAGTTCCGCGCCCGCGTTTGGAGCGACGTCATGCTGCCTGTCCTGCACGGCCTCGAGCGCCTCGAGGAGCTCTACTTCCAGTCGCGCGGCGTATCGACTGAGGATCTGCGCGCCATCCTCGACGGGCCGCTCATGGTCAACAACCTCAAGAAGGTCGCCGTGAACACCGTCGACTACGGCGAGTGGGGCGAGATCATCGGCTTCGACTGGACGTCCGAGTTCAGCCTGAACGGCCTCGTCGATCTCCTGCCCGTCGCAGAGCAAAGGGGCGTGCACCTCGAGGGATATCAGGTGTCGTGTGCGCGCCGAGAACTCAAGAAGCGCGAGCGGCGTGCGAGGGACGCAGCGAGGGCGGCGGCGAGCAGGGGAGGAGGGTCGTAGCTTCGGGTTCGAGTCTTTTGTGCAGTGTCCGCTTGGTCGCGTCGCCGCTCTCGTCGAGCAGCGGCAGCGAGCGAGAGTGCTCGTGCGCATGCTGCTGCTGCGAGCTTTCTCGTGGCTCGGCTCGATGCTCCTCGACTCGTCGCTCGAGCCTCCCGCTTTCCGCCTCTTTCTCGCTTGCGCTCTTCCTGCGCCCGCTGCAGCCGGGCCCGCGTGCGACTCTCACTCGGCAACCCCTCGAGTAGCTCTCACTCGCACTCCTCGCCCGGGAGCGTCACCCCGCAGCAGACGGCGCCGGCACCTCGTCCGCGTTCCGCTCTCCTCCTCCTCCATCTCACTCGTCGCCGGTCAACTCGCGCCGCCGTGCTGCCAGAGCCCCTCCAGCTGTACGTTCACCCTCTCTCCTGCCAGTCGGCGTGCCCCCGAGCCCGCGTGCGCCGTTGCCGCACGCTCACCTCCTCCTCCTCCCCCCCACCTCGCAGAGCCGCCGTCCTCAACGACTCGTCGACGCGCGACGCCGCGCTCGCCGCTCTCGCCCCCGAGGCCGACCAGTCCGACGACCAGGCCCACAAGGCGCACAAGCAGGCCCTCTTCGCCGTCGCCCCGATGCTCTCGCTCCCCGCCCTTCTCGTCGTGCGCCGCGGACAAGCCGGCGACACCGAGCCGATCGACGTCAGCTCGACCATCGACGCGCAGCGCGACTGGGTCGTCTCGAACGAGTGCCCGCCGGCCATGCGCGACGGCTACCTCGTGCGCGTGCTCGGCGAGACGGGCGGCGAGGGTCCGCAGCAGCAGGAGGGAGCGGGAGGAGGCGAGTGGGCGAGCGTCTGGGCGGGCATGCAGGGCGTCGCGAGCGACCTGGGGTCGCAGGTCGACAAGGGCATCATCCTCGAGGCCGACGGCGGTCGCAAGCCCGTCGAGGTGACGTGCAAGACGGCCAACGAGTTCAAGTCGGCGCTCAGCAAGGCGACCGGCGGCGTCCTCGACAAGCGTGCGTCCCCTCTTCCCCTCCTTTTCCGCTCTGTACGTCGTACTGACCGCTCTGCGCGTGTCGCCCGCAGTCGACTGGTCGAACGTCGTCCTCGGTGGAGGTACGTCGCTCGTTCCGCCGAGTCCTCCTCCCTCTCGCCGCAGCGCCCGTCGTCGGTCCTGACCCTCTCGACCCTCTTTTCTGCAGGTGCCGTCCTCTCTATCCTCACGGGCCAGCAGGAGAGCCAGAGCTACAAGGGCAGCGACCTCGACCTGTTCCTCGTCGGGCTCGAGCCGCAAGAGGTCCGTCCGCTCCCTCGCCCTCTCGTCTTTCCAGCCACCCCTCTGATAACCTTGCCCTTCCTCCCCTCTCCTCGGCACACGCAGCTCATCCCCAAGATCAAGAGCATGATCGACCAGATCAAGGACGCCCTGCCGCCGGCCCCGAAGAAGACCAAGCGCGTGTACGGCAAGGACTACCGCTCGACCGAGGTGCCTGTCGCGTCGGACGAGGAGGAGGGTTGGGCTATGGACCACGCGTACGACTGGAGCGAGCAGCACAAGGGCGAGCTCCTCGTCATCAAGGGCTTCAACGCGTTCACACTCGTGCCGCCCATGACGGTCACGGGCCGTCGCCCGGTCCAGATCATCCTCCAGTCGCACAAGACCGTGTTCGACGCCCTCGCCGGCTTCGACCTCGACTGCTGCTCGGTCGGCTGGAACGGCACCGAGGTCGTCGCCGTTCCTCGCGCCGTGCGCGCCCTCGCCCTCGGCGCCAACCTGCTCGACGTCAAGCTCGCGCGCAAGGGCGACCCGACCTCGTCCATCGTCAGCAGCCGCTCCCTCAAGTACCTCACGCGCGGTATCTCGCTCGCGCTCCCGGCCGCCGCCCAGTCGATCCTCGACGCCGAGGGCCTCGACCTCGAGAAGCTCCTCAAGGCCGGTCGCGACAAGGCGGCGAGCGAGACCGAGCGCAAGAAGGTCAAGACGGACGACATGAGCGGCCTCGCCGGTACGCTGCGTCGCCAGTGGAATGTCGCGAACGGCATCGGCGGTGGGCGCGACGTCGCTCCTTTCGGTGCGTCCCTGCGCTCACTTTTCCTCGTCTCTCGCTCTCTGACTAACTCGTCTACTCGACGCGTACAGGCGCCGACTACGGTCCTGCCAACAGCTCGTGGCACAAGCTCGTCTCGTCGTTCGAGATGGCGGTTTGGGAGAACGGCTGGATCTCGCACGAGTTCTGGGAGCACGCGGTCAAGACGAGTGCGTCCCCTCTCTCTGGATCGTACACCAGTAGGGTCACTGACCCTGTCCTCCCTGCAACAGTGGCGCCGGCGGTCAGCGAGCTTCTCTTCGCCGACAAGAAGGACCTCGTCAAGCTCACGCCCTCGTGTGCGTCCCCTCTCTCTCATTCGCCTCGGTCCCTCTCGTCGACTGACGAGCGCACTCTACAGACCTTGGCGTCACGGCGTCGTACGTCGTCCCGTACGTCGCGAGCTTCGACCCCGACTTTGTCCTCGACCTCGACGAGCCCAAGAAGAACCTTTTCAAGCTGTCGTGGAACGACGTGCGTCCCCTCTCTCGCTATCTCGTCTCTCTAGATCAGTCTTTGACCTCTCATATGGCGTCTGCAGATCCAGAACCTGCAGTACATCGTCAAGTCCGTCCCTCGTCGCCTGTCCTCAACTTGAGAAGGTCGACTCAAACTGACTCTGCCCCTCGTGCCGACAGGCTCCCTCGCTCGGTGCTCGCCCTCATCGACGACGCCGAGATCAAGCTCAAGGAGATTATCGCCGACGCCAAGGCCGCCGACGACTCGGGATCGCCCGGCAAGAAGGTCAAGGGCGACGAGGAGCCGTCTGCCGCCACCGACGTCTCGCCTGAGGCGCTCAAGGCCATTCAGAGCGCCCTCGACACGGTCAAGAACGTCTCGGAGACCGACCAGCCGCGCCAGAAGCCGTCGGTCCCCAACACGTCGTCGCAACGCCTCGACCCGCTCGTCACTGACTCGTTCCCGGGCCCGTACGAGCCCTCGCCGCGTCACGCGCCGCGCAAGCCCAAGGCGCCGTCGTCCAACATGAGCAAGAGCATCGTCAACCCGCTCGTCGACCACGCCGGCCTCGAGATCAAGACCAAGTCGACGAGCGACTTCGTCTACCGCGTCGCCGTCCTCGGCGGCCTTTGGCAGTTCCACGGCCTCGACACGGTCATCGACCGTGCGCTGCAGGTCATCTGGCAGGGTTCGTCTCTCTCTCTCTCTCTTTCTCTCGTACTCGTCCTCGTTGTGAGCACCTATTGACTCTCGCGCACGCAGCTTGGGTCGCGACGGCCCGTGCGGCGACGTCGCTCCCGCAGGAGCGCAACGAGGGCATGCAGTTCGTCCTCGAGCCCGACGAGTGGGCCGTCTACAAGGCCAAGTTCGCCGCTCAGCCGTCCGCCGCCTCGGTGCTCGCCAAGCTTTCGCGCGACCTCTCGCGCCTCGCGCGCAACATGGCCAAGAGCATTGAGGCGGAGCAGAGCTCGGGCCAGAAGCGTGCGCTCGGCGAGTGGGACGAGGAGCGCAAGCGCTACCTGCTGCAGTGGGTCGCCGACGAGGAGATGATCTGAGCGGAGGCGGTCAAGGAGGATGAGGGGACGAGCTTGTAGACACGCCGCGCTTGATTTGAAACCCGCTTTTCTCTCAGGACTCTCTTCTCTGTTCTCGAGCTAGAGAGGAGCTTGCTCGGCGACGAGAGGACGCAGCGTCTCGACTAAAAGGAGGAAAAGGAGAAGGAGAGGGTCCGTGACCGATTGCAAGGGATGGGAGGCTACCAGAGCTCGCGCCACTGGCGTCGCGTCGACAGGGACAAGAACCAAGAGGGGGATCGAGAGATGCGCGAGAGGAAAAGGAGGCCGGCGGCAGGCCCGTGCGCGGCAGGCCCGTGCGCGGCAGGCCCGTGCGCGGCAGGCCTTTACTTGGACGAGTAGGCCTCGCCGAGGGCCGTGAGGGACGCGTCCGAGTTGACGTAGGTGCCGACAAAGTCGCCGAACCCGGCGTACCTCTCGATCCAGGGCTGCTTCTCCATCCACGGCAAGACGGTCGCGAAAAAGGCCTGCTGCTCGGCGACGGTGCCACTGCCGGCGAACTGCGAGACGGGAGGTCAGAGACTGAGGCTGAAAGAGGGGAAGAAGGACGAGAGAGAGGAAAGGAGAAGGAAGAAAAGGCGCGAGATGGGAAAGGGAAGAAAGAAAGGGCGAGAGAGGACGCACCTCGGTGAGCCAGATTGGCTTGCCGAACCGCGTGTGCGCCTCTTGCAGGTAGTTCGTGAAGTAGCCCGTGTTCCATGCCGCGTCGTACTGGAGAAGGAGGGGGAGGAGAGGAGGGCGGAGGAGAAGAGGGAGGGGAAGGAGAGAGAGAGAGAGCGAGGGGTCAGTGCGCGAGCTCGACGCATCGCCCAGGTTCGCGAACGAGGGCACGAGGAAGACCCACCCAGTGCAGAGCGATGGCGTCCGTCTCCTCGAGGCAGGTCGGGCAAGCGTCGAAAAAGGCCGCCAGGTAGTCGCGACCTAGAGGAGCGCCGCCGTTGGTGACGGCGGGCGAGACGAGCTTGGCCTTGCCCTTGAACGGACTACGGACGAGGCGAGCCTGTCAGACGGTCTGTCGTAAAGGAAGGAGAGAGCGCGAGGGGCGCACCTCATGTACTTCTTCCAGCCGGCGACGACGGCCGCGACGGTCATGTCGGCCTGCCCGACGAGGTCGGGCTCGTTGAAGGCGAGCAGGTACTTCGAGCCGTTGTCGATGGCCTTCTGCGCGTTGACGAACCAGTCGCCGGCGTTGTCGCTCCACCTGCGAGGGCGGGAATGTCAATCTTGGGCAGACGAGGCCGGAGACGAGAGGGCCTGAGCGCGGGAAATCGAGACGCACAGCATCGGGATGTACTCGACGCCCGGGCTGAGCGTGCCCTCGGGGAGCTGGCCCCAGTTGTAGCTGTCGCAAGGGAGAGAGAAAGAGATTGTCAGGTCGTGCTCGAGCAGGAAAGAGGGGAGGAAAGAGGAGGACGAGACGCACGCCCACGAAATGGCGAGGTTTTTGGTGAGGGCCGCATCGTTGTAGCCGACGCCCTTCTTCTTCGACGCGCCCGACGAGAGCGTGGCGACGGGCGCAGCTGTCGAGCGCGTCGCAGAGGCAGTCGCAGACTTGGACGCCGAGTTGGTAGAACGCGTGGTCGTCGAGGTCGTCGTGCGAGTCGTTGCGGTCGTCGAGCGAGTTGTAGTGGTCGTCGTGAAGCGGGTCGTCGCGGTGGAAGTCTGTGTGGCGCGAGAAGTCAGGCCCATAGTCGCGCTGGCGAAAAGACAGCCGCGAGGACGCACCGAACGGCTCGTGGTCGTGACGCGGACCAGCTTGCTCGTCGTCGTCGTCGTCGTCGGGCGCACGACCTTGCTCGAGGTCGACGTGACGGCGGCCGACGTGCGCGACACGCTCGCCTGCGACGCGGAGACGAGGGTCGTCTGCCGCTTGAGGAGGCGCTCGAGCCTGGCCGTCTCGGCTGCCCACCGCCGCTCGCGCTCGACAAAGACGGAGCGCTTGTGCTCGGTGCTCGCCGACTGGGCGTACGTCTTGGTGCGCTTGACGAGGCGCGCGGCCAGCGTCGCCTGGTACTTGGCCGACGCGAGTTGGCGCTCGAGCCTCGCGAGGTCGGGAGCGGCGCTCTTGGACGATGCCGCGAGAGCAGCGCTCGCCAGGAGCGCCATCGAGAGGAGCGTGTTGAGGTACATCTTGCGCGGCGCGAGCGACGGCGAGCAGGCGGAGCTCAAGGAGAGGGAGAGGCGCGGGCGGTTCAACGAGTGTGAGCGGTGTCGAGGGGACGTCGGCCAGCGACGTGCGTGACACTGAGGGCGGCGAGCGAAACTCTAGCTGCGGCAGAGAGAGAAGAGAGAGCGAGCCTGGGAGCGAACCGGCCGCATTTGGTCCAGCGGCCGCGATGAATGCGGATCGCGAGCCCGGCTGCTCGCCGGTGGCCGATACAAAAACGGCCCGCAGGACGCGTGCGGAGAGAGCGCGTCCAATTGACACCGACGAGCGCACGTGCCGTAGCGATCGAGCGACGCGCAGCCGACGGAACTTTTGAGACGAGGTCTAGCAGAGGCCAGCAGCGAAGCAACGCTGGGAGCCTCGTACGTAGTCTGGAGACAGTGTTGAGACGCGCACACGCTCTATGTGGCTAGGGTCAGGCGAGCCAGGCCGCAAGCTCGTCCAAGAAAGGCGACACCTCCTGCGTCGTTGCTCAATTTCTCGCACGACCTCTCCCTCTCGACGCGGCTATGGACACGGACGAGACGGAACGACGAGAAATGGACAGCCTTGCACTGAGCCCGCCGACACAGGAAGAGCTGCTCGCAGACGACCGCTCACGCCTTGCGACGCTTCTTGTCCTTCTTGTCCTTCTTGCCGCTGCCGCCGTTGGCCTGCTTGCCCTCTTCGCCCTCGCCGCGGTTGCGCTTGAGCGCCTTGGTCGAGTTCGGGTTCTTGACGCTCACGGTCGACGAGAGGCGGTCCTTGCCGCCGACCACCTTGGCGGCGACCTGCGCTTCGGCTGCCGCCCACTCGTCCTTCGAGCCACCGATGGCGTACCTGCGACGTGCACCAAGGGCGAGTGAGCTCGTCGCTCGACGAGAGGGGACGTCGACGGCGAGAGAAGGAGACCCTTACTCACTGCTTGAGGTCGAGCGAGTCAATGACGCCGCGCTGCTCGTCGCGCAGCTGCTTGAGCACCTCGTTGCCCTCGTCCTCGAGCTCTTTGGCGAGCGCGTCCTTGTGCGTGAGCGACGTCGCGACGCCCGAGTCGCCGGCGGGCAGGATGCGCGCAGCCGTCGCGGCGGCGGCCTCCTCGGTCGGGAGCGAGCGCGCCACGTCGGCCTTGAGGACCTCCTGGAGCGACTTGGTGAGCTTGCGGATGACCTTGACGAAGAGGGCGAGCGTCTGGGCGACAGGGAGCTGCAGCTCGGTCTGTCCAGGAATGGCAAAGAGAGAGGTCAGTGCGGGCTCCTGCGAGGCGAGGCGAGGCGAGGGGAGAGCGGGACGCACCTCGATGTCCTCGACCGACTTGCGCTGCAGGCCGAGCGACGCGAGGATCGACGCCTGCACGCCCGACAGCTTGACGTCCTCGGGGAAGCGACGCGAGAAGTACAGGGCCGCGAGCGTCGGCAGGAGGTCGAGGATGACGTGGTAGTCGAGCATGTTGTTGCCGTACGAGTCGAGGCGCTTGAGGTCGAACGGCGAGAACGTGTCGCGGACGTCGGTCGAGACGAGGGCTGCGAGGCGAGGGGGAGAGCGGGTCAGTACCGGAAACAGGCCGCGAGAGGGACCGGCTCGAGGCTCACTTCGTCGGCCCGAGGCCGTGTCGAGCGAGCTCGCCGACTCGAGGATGCTGAGGGCGAGGATCGAGCTGAACTCGCGGAACTTGTACGACAGGAGGGCGATGAACCGCTTGCGGAAGTCTGCGGGCGACGAGCGCGCAAGTCAGTCGAGGCGCGAACGAGCCCCCGAGTCGAGGCGAGGACGGGCGACGCACCGATCGAGAAGTCGCCGAGCCACCGCTTGGCCTCGTCCTCGTTCTTGTTGAGGCCGCGGATCATGATGCACGAGTGCTCGCCCGTGAGGTCGTTGGTCGTCTGGCGCATGTACAGCGGGACGTATCCCGCGCGCTTCCAAAACTTGAACAGGAGCGGCGTCACGCCGTACGAGGTGCCGAGGTAGTCGAGGTTCTCGGGCTGGCGCTCCGACAGGCGCTGCAGGAGCGGCGGCATCTTGGCGGCGTCGCGGATCCCGATCCGGTCCGTCTGGAGCGAGGCCGACTGCGGGACGAGGGCGAGGAGGTCAGTCAGGCTCGGTGGACGCAGTCGAGGCGGCTGAGAGAGAAAGAGAGAGTGGGACGCACCTCGTCAACCTTGGCGACGTCCTCGAACGTCTCGACGTCGAGCTCGGCGGCGACCTCGTCGAGGTTGAGCAGCTCGCCGCTGTAGAACTCGTTGAGGGCCGTCAAGGTCTTCGAGCCGTAGCCCATCTTGGCGTAGTCCGGGTGAACGGCGATGCGCACGATGCGTGCGCCCGACAGGCTCGCAAAGTCGTCGTCCTGGTACTGCTGCGTGACGGTCCACGGGATGAGGTCGCCTCCGGCCATGCGGCCTCGCGACAGGTTGTCCATGACGCTCTGCTTGCTGATGTTGCCCTCGAGCGCGACCTGGACGACGACGAGCGGGTCCGGGAGCGAGTTGTCGCCCTCCTTGAGCGGCGGGAGGAGGACAAAGAGGTGGTGGCCGGGCGCGTCGCTCATGAGCTGCAGGTCGTTGGGCGAGTTCTTGTAGTGCGACGCGACGTAGAGGCTCATCATGCGCTGGAGGAACACCTCGGACGCCGGGTGGTACGAGAACAGGGTGTCGCGGTTGACGTAGTACAGCTCGCACTGGGACGGGTGCGGGCAGCCCTGGAGCGTCTTCTTGCTCGGGACGGCGATGGTCGCGTCGAGGCACAGGAGCTGGTTGAGCCACTTCTCGATCTCGTCGCCGGGCGCGTACCGGATCGGCGTCGTGAGCTTGATCTCCTTGAGCGTGCGCGCGACGTTGAGCGACGCCGACGACGAGCCGCCCTTGACCGCCGTGCCGTCGTCGTTCTTGGCGGGTGCGGCGAGCGCCGACGCCGGGCGCGACATCTCGCGCAGCTGCTGGAGGAGCTTGAGCGACAGGGACCGGCCCGTGCCCTCGTAGCCGTTGATCGTCGACGCCATGAAGACGAGGTACGGGCCGAGGAGCGACCGCACGAGCGGCAACGGGATGGCGGCGGCCTCGTCGATGACGACGAGCTCGGCCTGGCCGAGAACGTGGAAGTCTTGCGGTTGAATGTACTGCGCGAGGGAAAGGAAGAGGTCAGTTCCGCCGCTCGAGCCGCGTGACGACGACGACGAAGACGACGACGGCGACGACGACGACGACGACGACGACGAGGTGGCGAGGAGGGACGGACCTGGATGGTCTGGCGGTGCTGGCGGAAGATGTTGACGCGCACGACGGCGCCCTTCCACTCGGGGTTGGTGCTCTGGACAATGTCGTAGTCGAGGTGCTCCTCCCAGCCGAGCTTGTCAAAGCCCTTGAAGATGAACTCGAACAAGGTCTTGAGGTTCTCCGGGCTCGGGCTCGTCACAAACACGTTCGAGTAGCCGTGCAGGATGGCGAGCGCGATCGAGAGGCCGAGCGCGGCCGACTTGCCGCGACCTCGGGCGGCCGTGAGCGACACGGTCTGCGACAGCGACTTGGACGTGATGGCGTCGGTAAAGGTGAGGATGGCCTTGGCCTGGTCGAGCGTGCGCGCCTCCGCGAGGACGTCGCCGACGCCCTTGGTGTCGGCCATGCTCTCCTTGAGCGCGCGCAGCTCGGCCTCGCCCTCCTGCTCGCGGCGCTTGCCCTTGCCCGACGAGCGCGCGACGCCGACGCCCAGGTCCGGGTCGATGGGCACGATGTCCTTGCCGGCCGAGATGGGGAGGACGTTGAGCTCGTCGTCGACGACCAGGCACGACGGGTTGTTGCCGAGCGACAGGAGGAAGCGCTCGTTGAAGCGCGCGACGGGCGACGCCTCCGACATGCTCGAGCGATACCGCGAGTGGACGTCCTGCGAGAGAGTGGGGGTGATGAGCAGGGCTCGAACGCGCGAGACGCTGAGAGGGAGGGAAGAGAGAGAGGGGTGCGCACCATCGTCATGCTGTACAGCTCGCGCAGACTCTTCATGCCCTGAAGTAGGCACACGACGATGCCGCCGCCCTCGACCGTCTCGATCGTGCGCGCGAGCAGGTTGGGCGTGAGCGCCTCAAAGTCCTGGAGGACGAGCATGTTGAACGTCTGGCCGAGGATCTTGTGCGTGTCCTTGTAGTACCTGCAGGTGCACGGCCTCGGGTCAGGCGCTGAAGTACGAGGTGAAAGAGGAAGAGAGAGGTCGAGGACGCACGTGTACCGCACGTCGGTGACTGAGACGAAGAGCTCGAACGGGTCCATCTCGCCGACCTCGCGCTGGCCGCGCTTGACCTCGCGCTTGACCTTGGTCTCGCGCTTCTTGCGGTTCGACGTAAAGCCGAGGTCCTTCTTGTACGCCCACAGGACTGACGGCCGCGGGTTCTTCTTCTGGGCTGCGAGCGAGGTGCGAGGGTGAGCGCTCGGCCCCGGGTTGAGCGAGGGGACCGGCTCAGGGACGCACCATCGGTCGGGTTGGCGAGGCCGGCGATGCTCTGGCTGAGAAGGAAGTGCAGATTGACGATCTGGGCGTGCTGTTTGCTCTTGTCGCCGACCATGACGAAGAAGGAGCGGTGGCCCGAGATGAGCGAGTTGCTGATGAGGGCCGGGATGCGTGTGTCGAGCGGCTTGCGCCGCCCGGTGGCGTTGGCGCCGGACATGGCGAGGGCTGGCGGTGGACGGTGGTGGGAAGGGTGCTCGAGGTGGGGAGGTCTGCGAGAGGGGAGGGGGAGGAGAGAAGGGTCAGCGGCGTGTCCCTCGTCGTACGGGTGCTGCAATCTGGACACAGGCCCTCTACGAGCCGTTCCTGCGCGTCGCCCCGCTCTGCAAGGCTCGCGCGCCGCCGTCGGCGAGCGCGGCCGCACATCCTCATCAGCTCCTCCTCGCGGTCCTCCTCGCCCACCGCACGCCCGCCGCGCAGACCGGGCGAGTCGCCGCAGAGAGAGTCGAGACGCACACTGAGCTTAGTAGCAGGCCGCACGAACGATGTGGGCGAGTGGGAGGAGGCGAGGAGTCGAGCCACTCGCGCTCCAAGCTCGTCGGCCCTCTTGTCGCCGCGGAGTCCGCGCTTACCTGGGACAACGACAGGAAGCGGGAGGGAGTTGCATTGCGAGGTGAACGACGGGATGCTAGGCAAAACGAGAGCGTGCGAGTAGTAGCAAGGTAAAACTAGGGAGGGGCGGGCGGTACAACGAGGAGAGAAGGGGAGCTGCTGCAAGAGGCGTCGACGCCCAGCGTCCCTCACCGCCTGACCTTCTTGGCGCGCACCATCCTCCTCCTCTCGACGCCCGCGCCCGCGCCGGGAGCGGCCTTGGCCTGCGCCCTCGCGAGCGCCTCGCGGCCGCGCTGGGCCCTCCTGAGCACCTCGCGCTGCGCCGCCTCGGCGTCGCCGCCCTTCTTGACGCGCGCGGCGAGCTCCTCCTCCTGCGCCGAGTCGAGAAGCTCCTCGAGGGCCGAGAGCGCGCCGGGAGACGCGTCGTCGTCGTCGGCGTCGACCACGTGCAGTGAGCCCGGGGCGGCGGCGGCGGCGGGCTCGTCGTCGACGACCTCGTCGTCCTCGTCGTCCTCGACATCGTTCGACTCGCCGTCCTCGACGACGACGACCTGCTCGTCCTCGCCGCCGGGCACCTCGTCGCCCTCGTACACGACGTCGAGCTCCTCGCCCTCAACCTCGTCCTGCCCCGCCTCGCTCGTCTCGTCGCCCGCCCCGACAAGCTCGACGAGCCGCGCCTCCTCGGCGTCGATGTCATCCTGCGCAGGCGCGGCGGCTGGTGCAGGTGCGTCGTCCTGCGGCGCGAGGCGCGCGGGTCGAGGGCGGGGGCGAGCGGCGGCTTCGGCCTCGCGGTCGAGGTGGGTCGGGTCTTCAGGCCACAGCGGGTCCTCGGACGAGTGGTGGGCGCTGTAGAGAGGCGGCAGAGAGTGTCAGTCGTGCGGTTTAGAGACGCGAGAGAGAGAGAGAGTGGAGGACGCACTGGACGTGCTCGTCTGAGAGGGCCGGGTCGTCGGGCGACGCGCGGAAGTGGTCCTCGCCGGCGTCATGCGACGAGTCGCCGTGCGCCTGGTGCACGTCGGCGAGGTACTCGTCCGGGTTCGACGGCGGCGCCGGCGCCGCCGCGTGCGGGAGGAAGCCCTCGGGGAGCTGGACGTCGACGACGGCGGCGGGCACGCTCGCGGGCTCTGGGCTCGCGGCGCGGACGGCGGCGGGCGACGTGCGCGGGGTGGCCGAGCGCGGGTCGTAGCCGACGCCGAGGAGGGCGCGGCCGAAGAGGACGAGGCAGGCGGCAAAGAGGACGACGTAGGTGAGGTCGTTGAGGCTCTTGCGGCGCACGTTCGAGTAGACGAGCTTGGCGACCTCCTTTGGGCGGGCGGGCGACAGGAGGGTGCGCGCGAGGAGGGGCGACGAGGGCGACTGGGCGAGGGACGCGTTGGAGCGGTGCCGCAGGTCCATCGAGTCGGCGGCGGCGCGCGAGCCCTTGTTGGCGGCGCGGCCCTTGGAAGGCGTGACGGACGAGGAGCGACCGTGAGCGCCGTCGACGAGGTTGTGCATGCGCTGCTGCTGGGCGTGGGCGGGCGACGAGGCGGTGTTGGCGGCTCCCGCAGTGCCGGACGCGGACGACGGGGGTGAGGACTGGGCGAGGGACGAAGGCTGGCGCGGGAAGGTCCACTCGCGGAACTTGTCCTTTGACGGGGTGGCCGGGCACGAGTCGTCGGACGAGGGGGACGACTCGGACGAGGGTGCGCGGGCCGAGGGCATGTCGAGCTGGGTGAGGAGGCGAGAGGACGACATGGCCGCCTCGCTGTGGTGGTGGATGGTGCGCGAGCAGAAGAGAGAGTGCGCTAGTGGGTGGCCCTGGTGGATGAGGGAGAGAGGGGAAGAAAGGGGCGAGGTGCCTGCGAGGCGGGGCGCGTGCTCTTCGAGTGAGCTGGGAGGGGTGGTGGCGCTCGCAAGCGGGTGTGCGAGTGAGCTCGAGTGCTGGCCAGGTGAGCACGAGCGGTGGTGAGGAGGAGGCGAGCTGAGGAGGAGCTTCGACGACGTTGGCCGTTTCACCGCTCCCCGCACTCCGAGGGCCGCGTCGAGACGCGCCTCCCCTCCTCCTCCTCGCTCCTTCACTCGAGGCCGCCCGCTCTCTCGACTGAGCTGCTGCATGCAGCGACAACCCTCTTCATCGCCACCACACACCCAGAGCACATCTCTCCACCGCGCACCTCTCCAACCCTGCCCCACCTCCTCGTCATCGCTCAACGTCGTCGCCAACCCTCTCCACAAGGCCACCTTTCACCGCTTTCGCCGACCTGGCTACCTCGTCGAGCCCACCGCTGCGCCTCTCAAGTCGCGAGCGAGCGACACCCTCGCCAGACCCGACTCGCCGCCGCCCTCGTCCTCTGCACCTCAGCCCGCACCGCCACAGCATGTCGAGCACCCGCGAGCCAAGACCGACTCGGCAAACAGCCTGCGCAAGACCACCTCGTCGCCAAGCCCCAACCTCGACGACCTGAAGCCGAGCGCCGGCGTCCGCTCGCCTCGCGCTCGCCGCTCGGCCGCCGTCCAGACCACCCGTCCGCCCTCTCTTGTCCAAGCCGCTCCTCGCGCGGCACGATTTGCCGACAAATCCGTCCTTGCCGATGCGGCGACGGCGGCGCGACTGTCGCCAATCGCCGCCAAGTTGTCTTCGTCGCCTGCGACCAGGGTCGACAACTCGACCCGCGCTCCGCCTGCTCCTCGCGGCGCCCCCCTCACCACCTCTACCCGCTCAACGCGAGTGACACGCACCCACACTCGCTCCACAGCCTTCCCTCGCCTGTCGACGGCGCTCCTCTCGCCCTTCCAGCGTCACCTCGGCACGGACCGCGACGTCTACGTCGAGCTCCTTTCGAACGGCGAGCTCGTCCTCGACTCACGCAGGCGGGAGCGCAAGACCGGTGCAGCGGCGCGGGACGAGGTCTACCTGTTCAGCGGCAACGGCGAAGAGGTCCGCCTCCTCCTCGTCCTTCCAACCCTCGTCCTCGTGCGTCACTCGCTCACTCGTCGCTCCCACAGATGTCCATCTTCCACCCTTCTTCAACACTCGGCCCTTCCGCTCCCCTCGTCCTCGTCCACCCGTCATCGACTCACTCGTACTCGGACCTCGTCGCCGTCGCCTCGGCCTCGAACGCCAACTCGGCGCATCGGCGCCACGCCAAGGCGTACCGCACCGCCACCCGCATCATCACCGCTCTCAAGTCGCGGGTAACCCTCGTGCGTCCTCGTACTCCTCCTCGCCCTCGTTCCAGCAGGAAAGCCTGACGTCGCCCCCCTTTGGCCACGCAGATGTCGTTCTACCACCCGGCACCGCCTCTCGCGCTCGCCGACCGGGTCAAGATGACGGTCTATGCCGACCTCGAGTCGTTCGCGTGCTCGGCGACCGTCGGCCATGGCCAGGACCGCGGGCTCGCGACCGCGCTCGTCCACCCGAGCCGGGACTCGCTCGTCCTCACCCTTCCTCGCCCTTTGTCGCGGGCTCCCACCTCGACCGCCACCTCCAGCAGTACATCGCGTCTCTTCCTTCCCCTTTCCAAGCTCGTCTCGCCCGACTCGGCCGACGCGCCGAGCAACGACGCCCTCGCCCTCATTCCCCCCGACCTTCCTCCCACCGCCCGCGCCCTCGTCCACTGCGCCGCCGCGCCCTCAACCCGCACCCTCGTCGAGCGCGTCCGAGCAGCACACCTCGCCGCCCTCGCCACCTCGTGCGAGTCGGCCGCCGATGAGCGAGCACGGCGTGCGCCGAGGACGGGTCCGAGCGGCGCGACGCAAGACGGTGCGTCGCTGCCCGCCGCCTCGAGCACGAGCAGGAGCGAGGAGCGCGTCGTGCGCGAGCTCGCGAGGACGCTCGGCGTCGCGCCGCCGTCGCCGGCTCGAGCGCGCTCGGCGGGAGTGAGCGCCCGAGGCGAGGGACGAGGAGCGGCGGCGTCAAGGCCGTCGCAGGTGCGGCAGGGAGGAGGGGGAGAAGACGACGAGCGTTGCCTACCCGGCTTGGGCTGGGTGCTGCGCGAGCGCGGTGGCTCGAGTGGTGAGAGGCCCGGGTTTGGGAAGGCCGAGGAGGAGGACGAGGCGGCGTGGCGCGTCCTGTTCGCCGACGGGGAGGAGCTGCAGATGCGCCTGCGTCGGCGGCGGGTCGAGTCGAGTGCGGGAGACGGCGGGCCTGGCGGGACGATGAGCGTGAACGAGGGCGAGCGGGACGAGGTCGAGCTGCGGTGGCGAGGCGACAGGTGCGTCTCTCTCCCGCATTCTCTCTCCTCTTTCTCCGTATCGCACCCTGACATGTTCTCGACGTGACAGGTACCCGCTCCGACGAGCCGACCTCCCGACGAGGCTCGTGCGCCGCCTCCCGCTCGCCCTCGAGCTCCTCGCCCTCTTCCTCGCCACACCGCCGTCGCCACCGCCGTAGCCTTGCCGTCCTCTCTCAGTGCCATCGAGGCATGTCTGTACCTTCTTTGAGCCCGAGAGAGACGCTCTCGTGATCGCGAACGAGAAGAGAAAGTGCAAAGAGGCTGACTTGGCAGGTCGGGAGCGCGCAAGAGAGAGGGCTCGACAAGTGGAGAACTACAGACGACGCGACGAGAGAAAGACGAAAGAGGGACATGAGAGAGGAAGAGAGAGAGGAACCGCGAACCCGCTCACGCCACCTCCTTGAGCACCCTGAGGCCCTCGAGCCCGCCGACGACCTTGCGCAGCTCGTCGTCGTCGTCGCCCTTGGGCACCTGGATGCGCAGGCCCTTCTCGTTGGCGAGGTGGAGCAGGCAGATGAACATGTACGACGTCGAGATCTCGTCCATCTTGTCCTTGGGGTACTGGGCGCGCAGGCGCGACACGACGGGGATGAGGGCCTCGCGCTTGCGCCGCGGCGGCTTGGGCTTGCGGGCGGCGGCGGCGGTGTCGGCAGAAGGGTCGGCGTCGTCGGCCGGTGGTGCAGGAGCGTCGTAGGCGTGCGACGAGGGGAACTGTGGGCGGCAAAGCGGGTCAGTCGGGGGCGGACCGAGCGCCGAGGAAGGAATCGCCGACGAGAGGGGAGAGAGCGAGAGCGCACCTGCTTGACGGGGATGACGACCTCCTCGAGTTCCCTCCAGATCGAGTCCTTGAGCTTCTTGACGTCGACCCGCTTTGCGCGCTTGGCGTAGCTGACCATCTCGGGCCGGACGCGCCGCAGCTGGCCCTGCGTCGCCGCGTGCAGGTCGTCCATCTCCTCGTCGTCGTCGGCGCCGCCGGGCCCAGAGCCGTTGGCGCCGTGCGCGTCGGGCGTGTCCTCGGCGAGCCACTGAGTGTCGAACGGAGGAGGGAAGTCGTCGCCGTCGTCGTCGCCGCCGCCTGCACATCCACCGCGCACACCACAACCCGTCAGTACTGCTGCCGCAAGAGGGGCCACAGGTACCAGGAAAGGAGTGAGAGACAGGGACGCACCGCCGCCAAAGTCGCCCGGAAAGTCGATCGTGTCCATCCCTCCCCCGTACCCGTCCTCGCCGCCCGGCCCTCCCGCCCCACCCGCACCCGCCTGCGCCCAGAACTGGACGTCGCCCTCGGCGCCGTCGAGGCCGAGCTGGGGCTGGACGCCGCCACGGCGGCGCATCTTGAGCTGCGTGCGAGGAAGGGGGCCGAGCGCGTCAGGGCTGTGCTCGAGTGGACGAGAGGAACGAGCGAGAGAGTGAGAGAGGAGGACGCACCGTCGTCTTGGGCTTCAGGAACAGACGCAGGAGGTTCTGGCTGTTGAAGTGAAAGTCGTCGGGGAGGGTAAAGTCGTCGTCGGCGCTCGTCGGGCTCGACTTGCGCGCCCGACCGGCCGCCGTCGTCGCCTTGGTCGCGGCGGTCGTGATGGACGACTTGGGCGCGGCGGCGGCAAAGAGCTCCTTGATCGGGACGGGAGGCTCGCCCGAGAAGTCGAGCGAGAAGGCGACCTTGTCCTTCTTGACGCGAGGTGCGGGCGCCGCGCCGTCGTCGGCTGCGAGGGACGCGCTCGTCAGTGACCCTGCTCGCTCGAAAGAGAGTGAGGAAGAGGAGGACGCACCCTGCTTGCCCGCCGCCACGCCCCTCCTCATCTTCCAGTGTTCGGGGCCGGCCCAGTTCCTGCCGAGCTTGGCGTCAAAGTGCTCGAACAGGAGGCCGTCGTCGCCGCCGCCGGCGTCCATGGCCATGACGAGGTCGCGCTCGTCGGCCGCCCGTCGCGGGTCGAACGCCTCGACGGCGCCGAACCCGAACCCGCCTCCTCCTCCTCCTGCGCCGCCGGCGCCCGCCCCGGACCCGGACGCGACGGGCGCGAACTGGTCGGCGAAGAAGTCGACCTCGCCCGCATCGTCTGCGCCGCCGCCGCCACCACCTCCTCCGCCCTCGCTGTCGTCGTCGAACCCGCCGCCAAAGTCCTGCATGCCCGCGTCGAACCCGCCAAAGTCGCCGTCGTCGACGGGCGCGTCCGGGCCCGCCGCTGCGGCGCCGTAGCGGCGGTCGTCGCCGTCCGAGTCGTCGTGAAGGTTGAGGAGGCCGAGGTCGAGCTGGGCGTCGGCCGAGAAGCGGAAGGCTGACAGCGAGGGGCAGAGCGACATGTGCGACAGCGGGTCGGTGCCGTTCGGTAGGCAGCGAGCTGCGAGGGAGTAGACGAGTCAGTGCTGGATCGACGGAGAGAGAGACAAGAAAGGAGAGAGCGGGCGCACCTTGGAGCTTGGAGATGTCGATCTCGGCACGGTCCTCCTCGTCCTGGGCACGTTGGCGCGCCTTGTCCTCCTCGTCGAGCTCTTCGAGGGCGTCCTCCTCGTCGCACTCGAGCTTGGCGTCGCCGGCGTCAAAGACGACCTTCATGGTGCCGTCGCACGCGAGGTGGTTCATGAGGATGCCGCCGGCGCCGCCCTCGTCAAAGTCGGCCGACGTCTTCTTGAACAGCGGGTCGACCGTGAACTCGAGGTCGAACGACTTGACGCGCAGCTTGCTGAAGTCGTCGGCGAGCGTTGCGGCTTGGCGAGCGGCCTGCGGGCGGAGCGGGTCAGGGTCACGGTGAGCGTGTGGGGAGGAGGGATGAAGGAGGGAGAGGGGGACGGACCCGCTTGCGGGCACGCTTCTCCTGGCGCTCGTCGTCCTCGTCGCCGTCGCCGTCCTCGTTGTCGTCGCCGCCGCCAGCTGTGCGTGTGAGGGACGAGGTCAGCGACGGGCTCGAGGGGCGGAACGAGAGGGGCGGAAAGGAAAGGGGACGGACGAGCGTCGTCGCCGAGGCCGCTGAGGAGCTTGCCCGTCTCTGTCGCGACCGAGTCGACGCGGGAAGTCCAGATCTTGACGCAGCCGTCGAGGGTGCAGCTCGCCTTCTGGAAGTTGATCGAGTTGTCGGCGCCGTCGCGGAGGAGGCTCATGTCGTGGAAGTAGTCGATGAGGGCGAGGTTCCAGGTGTTGGTCGACGTGATTTTCTGTGGTGGGGGAGCATCATGAGTGCTGCTCTGCGAGGTGCCGAGAGAGAGAGAGAGAGACGGACGTTGTCGGTCGCGATCTTCATCCACTCCTCGTAGCGCTGGCTCTCTACGACGAGCGGGGCCTGGCCGAGGGTGCCCGAGACGTTGCGTCCCGGGGTGTTGGCCTGGTCGCGGAGGCGGTTGGCGGCGGCGAGGACGGCCATCTTTGGCTCGCGGTGTTTGTGCGAGGCGGGGTTGCGAGGCGGGGTGGCGGGTGGGCCGGATGAGCGGCGGTGAGGTTGCCGCGGCATGGTGCGGTGGGTCGCAGTGCTCTGTGAGTAGCTGTGAGCGAGGTTGGAGGGTCGGGGTTGAGGGACGAGGAGCGACGAGGGGAAGACGCGTCGGTCGCTCTTGGTCTTGGCTCTGTCGCATCCACAGGCCACTCGCTGTAGTCACCGACACACAGTGCCACAGCTCTCGACTTCACCCGCACCCCCGTCCACGCCCCCCTCGCCCCTCGCCGTCCCCCGACCTCATCAATCAACCCCGACCCCCTCCTCCCTCCTCCTCCCACCAACCCGCCGACGATGAGCGCACGCACGGCCTCGCGCCCGCTCTCGACCCACTCGAGCCTGTCGTCCAACCCTTCGCCGCGCAAGGCCTCGCGCGCCCCGCCCCCCGTCACCTTTGACGACGCCGCCGCCGACTCGAGCGACCACAACACGCTCCTCGACTCGGCCCACCTCGACGCCATCCTCGCCGACTTTGACCTCGAGGCCACCTCGTACCTCCGCAAACTCGCCAAAGCCCACGACGACCGCGTAAACGCCCTGCGCCGCTCGTTCCACGACTCGCTCGCCGCCCTCGACCACCAGGTCCGCACCTTGTCGCTCGACCGCTTCGTGTCCGACTTTGCCGCAGACCCGCACCGCGCCATCACCGGCCTCGTCGGCGAGCAGATGCGGCCCGTCCCCATGAGCCAGGTCGAGCAGAGCGTCCGCAAGCGGTCCGTCCCTCCCGCATTCCCCTCTTCACTCTCGCGCTCGTCGACTGACCTCTCCTCGCACACCCTGTCGCAGCAAGCGTGTCCAGCCCGCCTCGCCTCGCACCAACGCTGACGGTCCGTCCCTCTCCTCAGCACCTTCACCTCTCGTTCGCAGACTCACTCGGCGCGCCCTTCCCACAGACGACGACGTCGACGTCTTCTTCTCGACCTCGAAGAAGGCCCGCTCGGGCACCTCCACGAGCGCCGCACCGAGCGGCATGCTCTTCTCGAGCGCGGTCAAGGGCAAGGGCAAGACGGCCGGGTCCGTGTCGCGCTCGGCCTCGACGAGGAGCAAGCGCAACGGCATGTCGCCCACCTCGGTCCGTCTCTCTCTCTCTCTCCTCTAGCGCGCTCTCGACCTGACTCTCCCTCGCCCGCAGAACCGCAAGCCCCGTCTCCGTCTGCGCCCGTCGACGACCGCGTCCGTGTACCGCAACAACCCGCACCTCCCGCCGACGCCCGGGCCCTCGTCGGCCTCGTTCCCGGGCGCCGCGACCGCCGCCGGCGTCGCTCCGACGACGGCGCGCCGCCCCAAGCGCGGCGAGAGCATCGTCATGCGCTCGATGAACGGGAGCCCGCTCGGCGAGTTTATCGCGAGCGAGGACGAGGGCGGCGACGACGACGACGAGTCGCGGTCGTCCGAGGACGACGACGAGGACGAGAGCGAGGGCGCGAGCGACGAAGACGAGTGGGACTTGCTCGAGCGCTACGAGGCGAGCAAGGTCGAGCACCAGTCGGCGTCCAAGGGCAAGAAGGCCAAGGCCAAGACCAAGACCCAGGCCAAGGCGTCGTCGTCGTCGTCGTCGAGCAAGACGCAGCCGCCGACCTCGTCCTCGTTCATCGTCGCCCTCCCCGCCGGCGCGCCGTCGTTCAACGAGGTCAAGCGCCTGTGGGTCGAGCAGATGCAGGCCAACCTGCGCAAGCTCGACGTCGGCGAGGCCGAGAAGCGCAGGCTCGAGGAGGCCCTCCTCGCGAGCGTGCCTGCCCTGTAGAGGGCGGTCGATACTGTCGATGGCTCGCTGTCTCTCTGTCTGTCTGTGTAGTCACTTTCTGCCATGCGAGCACCTTTTTTTCCTGCTCGACCTTCTCTCTCTCTGTTCGGCGGTCGAGACCGCTCCCGAGCTCGAGCGAGTCGCGAGAGCTTGCTGTCGGCTGCGCGCCTTGACGCTAGGAGGACAACCGACGAGCTACCGGTCCTGCCACAGCCCGTCGCTCGCTGAGAAGATGCGCTCGACCCTCCTCGTCGCGGATCGAGCGAGCCTCGAAACGGCTTCGCCCTCCTCAGGCGCGGTACGCCTCGAGCTCGAGCTCAACGCGAGAGAGCCTCTTCCGTGCAGCGCGAGCGTCTGACAAAGAGTTGCTCGAGAGCGAGAAGCACGAATGTCTTCCGACGACGGAGAGCGGCGAGAGTAGCAGAGCGGTTCCTTTTTGCCTTCTCTGCACACGAGAGCGACTCGACGAGAGGAAAAACACTGTTGCATCAGGGCCAGCTACACTGCCTCGACGAGAAGTAGGCGCTCACGCCAACCTCCTCGACCGGTACCGCGGCCCTCCTCGCTCGCTCGGCGCTCCTCGTGCGTCGCGTCCGGACGTCGCGTGCGAGCTCGATCGCTGCCCCGTCGAGCGTGACGCCGTGCGCTGCCGCGAGCGGGACGAGGTCGAGCAGGTCGTCCGTCGCCGAGCGATGCGCCTGGCCCGGCTCGCGCTCGTGCTCGTGCTCGACGCCGCAGTCGAGGGGCACGGCGTCCAGCACGATGCGCTCGAGCGCGCCCGGCGCGCACACGACCTCGCGCAGCTCGTCGAGCTCGATGTCGAGTCCTCGCGCGAGCCGCAGCTCGACGAGCCGCTCGGACCGCTCGATCGCCGCCCTCGTCGCGACGTGCAAGGTCCCGCCCCCGAGCTCGAGCGTCTCGAGTGCGGTGAAGGGCTCGAGAGCATCGGCGAGGTGGGCCTGGTCGGCGTCGGCGAGCTGGGAGAGCGAGAGGGAGGTGACGAGGTCGGGGTTGGGAAGGTGGCCCAGGATGGTGTTGATCGGCGAGGACGGCGGGAGGGTCGTGTCGTGCACGGCGACCTCTCGAACGTGCTCGAGCGTGCGGAGGAAGGAGACGGCGAGAGAGTCGGCGTGCAGAGGGAGGGTGAGGCTGATGCGCCGCAGCGGCGGCGGGTTGGCCGGTGCCGGGAGGCTGGCGATGCGGCCGACAGGGGCAGGCACCGATACGCCGAGCTTGTCGTAGATGACGTCGTCGTTCTCGAGAACGCGGGCGCCTCGCTCGACATTTGTGGAGGAGGAGCCGACCGGGCGCAGGGCGAGGTCGAGCGAGCGCAGGTCGGGCAGGACCGAGTTGAGGTTGGGCGATGAGAGAACAAGGTCGATGAGGGAAGGCGCGTCTAGGACGTCGAGGCGCTCGAGGTGGACGAGGGCGCGCAGGAGGGCGAGCCAAGTCGGCCGTGACGGAAGGTTCTGCGTGTCGCATGCGGCCAAGTCGATGTGAAGCTCGACGACGGACTCGGCGACGGCAGACGACGATTTGACGATGTCGCACAGGCGGCGGACGTGCTCGGGCTTGACGACCGTAACCTTGCGGAAGGCGAGGTGCCGAGCGATCGGGACGAGCATTCTCGACACGCGAGCGAGGTAGGGACCCCCGCCGGCCTCGTCGACGAGCTCACCGATGAGGAAGAGGAGCTCGGCTGGGAGGCGACCGAGGTGATTGAACTTGGGCGCTCGCTGCGGGTCCGCTTCGAGGGAGGTCAGTTCTCGTCGAAGAAGGTGGTCGAGGAGGAGAGCTCGCGCACGCACGTCGACATCGTCATGGGAACGCGCAGCTCTTGAGGACGCACCACCAGAGCATTCTGCAGCCGAACACGGCTCGAGATACCCGCTGTCGGGACGAGAGGACGGTGAGCGACGGTGCGACTTGAGAAGGTCGATGAGGGAAAGGGCGGGACGCACAGGATGGACCGAACGCTGCTCGACAGCAGGGTGTAGGCGTGCATGAAGGCAGACGTCTGCGTAAGAAGAAGGAAAAGGAGCGAAAGAGGTAGACGGCCGTCCTCGAGAAGGTCAATGCGGGAGCGCACTCCCGGCGAGGCTTGATCCTGCCCGTCCCGGCTGCGACGAGCTGCCCCTTGCGGGCTCTCTCTCTGCTCGCCTGCACGTGCTCTCCCGCTCGTCGTCGACGGACAGCTCGATCGGAAGGAAGGTCACCGCTTGAATGCAAGTCGCTGCTCGGCTGTGGCTGCTGCTCGCCCACCTGCTGAGAGGAACAGTGTCAGTCTCGGTGGCGCCTGTACCGCCTCGCAAGGAGAGAAGAGAGACGCACCGTCTCGATCCCCTCAGCGCCCTTTTGCCGCCCTCGCCTCGCGCCCAACCGCCTCCCTCTGACGCCGCACCTCGTCCAGCTCGTCGCGAAGCTTCCTCGCCCTCGCTCGCGCAGCCACGAGCGCCTTGGACGTACTCGAGAGCGAAGAGATGAGGCTTGACTGCGAGCGGATGGCGAGAGAGAGAGTGAGCAGTGAGCGACCTGGTCGCGAGAAGGAGAGGAAAGTGGACGCACGCAGTTCATGAGCGGCTCCTCGACGCGCTTGCGCAGCAGCTTGAGCGCCTTCTTGCTGCGCCTACCGTCCGTCTCGTCCCTATCATCGGCGTCGAGGTCAGTCGAGGTTCAGGGGAGCCGAACGAGGACAAGAGAGGGGACGCACAAGAGCCGCTCGAACGTCGTCGCGCTCGCCCCGACGACGACGTCGAGCGCGTTGAGCGCGCCCGAGTTGCCCCTTTTGCGGACGGTGGACACGACGACGTGCTTGGCGGTCGAGGCAACCTTCTTCTTGACGAGCTGGCGAAGCTGAGGCGGCGGCGAGGACGAGGCTCGTGCGGGTGCGGATGCGGGCGAGGGTGGAGCGACGGCTCGTGACGACGTCTTGGAGCGGACAGGGGGACGAGGAGGTGAAGGAAGAGGAGGGGAGGAAAGTGCGGGTGCAGCAGGCCGGGCGCGAGGACGCTTTGCCGGCTTGAACTGGATCGACAGCGTGCTGGAGGGCGGAACATTGTCAGGCTCGGACGTACGTTGACGTGATTGTGAAGGCCGGACGTACACGTCCCCCTCGTCCTCGTCGTCTCGTACGGCTGCGCGTTTGCGAGCCTTGGGCGACGGCGCGCCGACGAGAGCGAGCTGCACCGCCTCGTCCTCGTCCTCGTCCTCGCTTGCCGCAGCAGGCGTCGCCTCGCGCGCCCGCTTCTTCTCCTTGCGCGTAGCCGGCGGCAGTGCGGCCGGCGGTGCGGGCGCCTTGCGAGCGAGCGGCGCAGGCTCGACCGCCGCGCGCTTCTTGCCCGCCGTGCTCGGCTTGACCGCCGCCTCGTGCGGGATCGGCGCCGCAGCCACCTCGACCGCCGGTGATTTGGCCGTCAGGCCCGCCGCTCGAGGTACGCGACGACCGGCTGGCGCGCTGGGCGCGGCGGGCGCCTTGACCTTCTTGGCCTGCGGCGGCGGCGACGACGCCTCGTTGCGCTCGTCAACCTGCTCGACCCGCCGCCGCTTGGCCGCCGTCTTCTCCTTTACGGGAGCGACTGCTGCTGCTGTTGAGGGACGCGCGACGTCCGACGGGCGACGGTACGCCTTGCCGGCGAGCGACGGCGCGGCGCTCGTGCCCGAGAGGCGGCGCGGCGGCGACTGCTGGAGCGCCTTGGCCTGCGGCGGCGGCGCAGGGGCGACGGGCGGAACGGGTGCGGGTGCGGACGAGGATGCGGCGGCGGCGGGCACGACAGGACCGAGAAGAGGAGGCCCAGGTCGGCGGACGGCGGCGCGCGGGATGCGCGGCCCGCGAGTCGGCGCCGTGGCTGGAGCTGCAGGAGCGCTCGAGCTCGCCGTGTCGACAGATGCGGCGCTCCTCGACGTCGACGCGACCTGCGCAGCTGCCCCACCCTCGCCCTCGCCCGTCCGGCCCGCCGCGCCGCGCGTGCTGCGCCTCGCGCGCCGAGCGTGCGCCTCGGTGCCCGCGCCGCTCGTCGCCGATGCTACTGCTGCTGCTGAAGGTGCTGCTGCTGCGCCCTTGCGCGGCCCGAGGAGGTGCGCGAGGCTCGCCGGCCCGGCTTGGGCGAGTTGGTCGAGGCTGGCCCACTGCCTGCGTACGGTCGTGGGTGAGCTGTCTGGGCGCGTGGAATCGCAGAGAGGGGTGGATAGAAGACGCACTGTGCTTCCCCTGCGCCTCCTCGCCGCCCAAGTCGCGCTTGCCGCTCCTCGTCGCGGTTCTGGGGCTCGCGGGCCGGGGTGCGCTGGCGGGTCGGCGACTGGAAGGTCGGGATGCGGATCACGTGGCGAGGTGCTTGTGCTGCGCCGCCGAAAGCCGGGAACGGCGGCATGAGCGCGTGAGGACGAAGAGCGAGGGCGAGTCGGTTCCTCTCGGGAGATGAATGAGCAGCGAGGCGAGGGTCACGTGACTGAGGATTGGCTTGCGAGTGCTACACAAAACGGGGCCAAGGGGAGATGCACAACGTGTAGAGAGACTGAGGTATGCTATGGGGGAGCAACAAGGGGGACTGAACGAGGCGGAGCCGGGTGCGACGAGGCGAAGAAGAGGAGGACGGGTCGAAGCGCTCAGTGCGCCGCGCGCTTCATGAGCCTGCGCACACGCGGACGAGTCAGTCGTCACAGTACGAGGGTGCGCAGGACGAGGAGAGAGAGGGAGAGACGGACCAGGCGAGGGTGATGTCGATGTTGCGGCTCGACTTTGCCGAGATCGAGTAGCAGCTGACCTCGCGGTTCGTGATGGTCGACAGCGCGAGCGCCTTGATGACCTCGTCAACCGTCGCGTGGTCGTCGAGGTCGTTCTTGTTGGCGAGGACCTGTGGGCCGACAGGCGTCGTCAGTCAGGCTCGTGCACGTCTCGAGTCCGCCGTCGCGACAGGGAGAAAGTGGTGCGCACGAGGAGCGGGATGGCGCGCAGTTCAGGCTTGTCGAGGAGGGCATGCAGCTCTGCTCGTGCGGTCGGGAATGTGTCGCGGTCGGCCGAGTCGAGGACCCAGACGATGGCCGAGACGCCGACGCAGTAGCGCTCCCAGATGGAGCGGAACCGAGGTTGCCCGGCGAGGTCTGCGCGGCGGATCGGGAGGTCAGTCAAATCCGCTTGGAGAGGGGATGGTGCGGGAAGGCGAGAGTGGCGGCTGTGTAGCCGGCTCGAGCCGAGGGCGAGGAGGAGAAAACGGTGGGCTCACCCCAGACTTTAAGCTCTCATGTTTGAACAATAAAATTAATATAAATCAGCAACTTAAATAGCCTCTAAGGTTTTAAGTTTTATAAGAAAAAATCTTGCGCAGGTTGAAGCCGCTGCGAGCGTCAAGTGGGGAAAGGGTGAGGCGGCGTCGGCGGCGCAGCAGGGAGAGAGGGGACGCACACTGTTGGGATCATGGACTCGCTGAACCGGTTGTCGGTCAGGACGTTGACGAGCGAGGTCTGCGCACAGAGGGAGGGTTGTCAGGGTCCGGCCGAGGAGGGGGAACAGGGCCGGCGACGTCGCGACGAGGGGCAGAGAGGGCTGACCTTGCCTGCGTTCTGCATGCCGATGCAGGCGATGTCGAGGGTGGTGGACCAGAAGAGGGACCGGAGCCAGTTGAGCCAGGCGCGGAGCATGGTGACGGCGAGGTGGTGGTCGGCGGACGAGGAGCGAGAAGGAGAAGGAGGAGGAGGAGGGGGCAGCGGGTGGGGGCGAGGACAGGGGAGGGGTGCGGGTGCGTAGCAGCCTGTTGCGGGTGTCGAGTGGCGGGCTGGAGGAAGAGGAGGAGGAGGAGGAGGAGGCGGTGCTCGCGGCGAGGATCTGCTTCATCTGTGTCCTCCTCCTCACAGCGGTCCTCGTCGCACCCAGTACGATGCCGACCACGCAGGAGACACTCGCACTTGTGCAGTCCCTGTCGGCCTACCTCAACAGCACGCTCGCCCTCGTCTCGCAACCTTCTTCCTCCTCCTCGACCTCGACCACGACCACTCCTCCCTCGCTCGCCGACGTCCGCAACGACCTCTCGCTCCTCTTGGCCGAATCGAACAAGCACCTCACCGCCGCCTCCCTCGCCTGCAAGCCCCCAATCGCCCTCGACGCCCTCCACGGCTCCCTCGCCAAGCTCGAGGCCACCTTCCCCAAACTCCGCTTCGCCCTCGAGCACCTCGCCGCCGGCTCGTCCGCGCAGTCGAGCACCCGGCTCGCGCGCAAGCTCCGCTGGGGCGCCCGCGAGGCCCTCGAGGCCTTTGCCGCCCACCTCGCCGCGACCGCCGCCCTCCTGCGCGCCGCACCGTCAGCCCAGCGCCAGAAGCGCGACCACGTCCTCGTCGCGACAAAGGGCGTCTGGGCCGCCCTCGAGCGCTTTGACGCCCTGCCGCGCACCCGCCTCGAGGCCGAGCGCGAGGCGTGGAAGGACGCCATGGCCATGCTCGACGACTGCGCCGACGAGGTCAAGGCGCTCGCCGCCAGGGACGGGGCAGGCGGACGAGGGGACGAGGGTGGGACAGACGGCGACGAGGGAGAGCGGGAGGACGACGACGAGGGGGAGGAGGACGAGTCGCCCTTGACGGCGACCGAGCGCTCTCGAGCCCTCCTCGCCGCACAGCTCGTCCGCCTCGCGCGCCTCCTCCTCGCCCACCTCTACCAGCGCACCTCCCCTCCACCTGCATCCACACCTCCCACCACCCCGCCAACGCCCGCCGTCCCCGCCTGGACCCGCCCGGCACTCCTCGACGCCGCGAGCGCGCACGCGTCGGCGCTCAGCGAGGCCGGCGACGAGCTCGCGGGCGTGCTCGAGCCGGGCCAGGACGCCGACGAGGTCGCAGACGCGGTCGAGGAGCTGTGCGACGCGGCTGAGGAGCTCGCCGCGGCGATGGAGCGTGCGCTCGACGAGGGCGGGAGCGGCGAGGGTGAGCGGGAGGACGAGGCGCGAGCGGCGGCGGCGAGCGAGGCGACGGACAAGGAGCGAGAGTGGCTCGCCATGTGGAGGAGGCAGCGCGACAATGCGCGGGACAAGCTCGCAGGGATCTAGCGCGCGGGCGAGGAGCGAGACGAGGTCGTCGAGTAACTCTCTTTTACAAGCATCTACAAAAGTGTGCGCGCCCGCGACCGTTTCGACTCGCCCCCAGTTCTGCTCACAACGCGCCGAGCGAGAGCATGGTCCCAAGGCTCTGCAGGATCGAGTCGCCCATGGCCTTCTCGACGGCCTCCTCGAGGTGGCGCTTGGGGTCCTGCTTGCCGACGTGGCGCGTCTTGAGCTGCTGCGTCGTGAGCGTCGCCTCCTCCTTGACGCTCGCCGTGTACGTCTGCGCGAGCGAGAGCATGCGCTGTGGGTCGGAAAGAGGCCGTGGTGAGCGAGTGCGCGCGAGAGAGGGAGATCGCGCGAGAGAGAGAGAGGGAGGGGGGCGCACCTTGATGCTCTCCTCGTTGTCGCGCTTCATCTCGCTCCAGTCCTGGAGCTTGAGGCCCTCGGTCCAGTCCTTCTTGTGCAGGTTGAGGAGCATGCTCTGCTCGAGCTCCGTCTTGCGGTACGCGATCGCGATAGAGTAGTAGTGGCGGTTCAGGCCGTGGATCAAGGCCTGGATGGACGGCTGCTGCAGGTGCCCGATGTTGGACGTCGACTGGCGCGGCTCGACGCCCATCATGACCTGCTGCGGGTTGATGGACCGGAACGCGTCGATGACGACCTTGCCCTTGACCGACTGGATCGGGTCGACGACGACGGCCACCGCGCGAGGGTTGAGCTGCTCGAAAGACTGTGTTGCGAGGAAGGGTGAGTGACCGTGAGAGCGCGAGGGAAAGACGGCGAGAGAAAGCGGGGACGCACCTGCTGCGTGTTGACGTCGACGCTCGACAGCCAGCAGCCAAAGCCCGGGTGCGAGTGGTACCACCCGACGACCATCTCTGGCCTGCGTGCGCGCGAGGGCTCGGGTCAGTCCTGGCTCGTGGCGCGAGGAAGGGAGGAACGGAACGCGAGGACGCACCGGCCGGTCTGCTTGAGCATGTCGAGCATCTTGGTCTGGAACACGGGGTCGACGGCCTCGACTGAGACGCCCGTACCGCTCTGCGGCATGGCGAACACGTCTGCAGGACAGGTGGGTCAGCGAGCGCACGACGAGGGACCGAGGAGGGGAAGTGAGGCGGACCGATGACGCGGACCGTGTACTCGTCGACAAAGTCGCCGAGCATGAGGCCCATGACCTCGAGTGGGACACCTGCGCGACCGTGCTTGAGCATCTGTGGACGAGAAGGGGGCGGAATGGGAGGCGACGAGATGAGGTCGGGGAGGGGGAGGAGGGGAGGTCAGCGGGCGGCCTCTGTCGGGTTGGTGCGGGTTGAGGGAGCGAGTGCGGACCTTGAGGAGGGCGAGGCTCGAGATGTGGACCGTCTCTGCGTTGTCGTTCGTGGCGATGTCGGCTCCAGGGGGCGGTGCGCCGCCGCCAAACTGGCCCATCATGGCTCGAAGCTGTGCGTCCACTGCAGGGGCGGGTGGGTCAGTCTTGGATGCGCTGCGTGTACCTTCAAATGAGCTCACTGGTAGCGTCTGTGCTGTGGGTGAAGGGTGTGCGGAGGAGAGTCGTCAGCGGGCGGCGGAAGAGCAGCTCCCTCGCTCCTCACCTCTGCCTCGCTTGCAGCTGCTGCTCCGAGAGACATGCTGGGCACCGGCAAGAAGGACCGCAGGCAGCGTGCGTCCACCTCCCTCCCCCTTCTCTCCTCTCGTCCTCCTCCTCCCTCATCTCCCCTCGTCGCTGATCCTCATCACACATCCAGCCGCCCGTGCCGCCCAGCCCGCCGCCGTCCTTGCCGACTCCGAGTACGTCGCCCGCCGCATCAAGCGCCACCTCGCCGACCTCGAGCGCACAAACTACACCGAGCCCACCACCGGGCCAACCGCCTACGGCGACGCCGACGACGACCACAAGGGCCCGAGCCAGCTCGCAAAGGACAGCTCGGGCGACCAGAAGAAGAAGAAGACCATGGCCGTCCGCACCCTCCTCATGTACCGCAAGAACCTCGCCGCCCTCGTCGCCGAATCCGTGCGCTTCCCTCTCTCTCTCTCTCTCCCTCTCTCGTCGCGCTCGTTCGCCCCCCTTTGCCTCCAACCCTGGACTGACTCGTCCCTTGTCCCCGCAGGACCTCCCCTCGCCGCACGAGTCCAAGCAGCCCTCGTACCTGACGGCCGCCGCACCTCCCCCTGCCCGCCCGCCGCTCCGCCTGTGCTCCGTCTGCGGGTACAAGCCGCGGTACGCGTGCCTCAGGTGCGGCTTGCCATACTGCGACGTCGGGTGCCGCCAGACGCACGACGAGAGTCGGTGCGAGAGGCGCTGAAGGGCGCGAGAGCGGGGCGGCGGCGGGGAGACGAGGAGGGCGAGCGAGCGCACTTGTTGTTGCCATACTAGCTGTTTCTCTCTCTCCTTTGTCCGTCTCTCAGCTCTCGAGAGATGCTCATCGCCTGCTCCCTCTGGAAAGCCTCGTCCTCTCAAGCCTGTTCCTCTCGGGCCTCTCGTTCTCGGACCTCTCGCATTCTGGAAGCACCGCGACGGCAGCTTTACACTCGCTCTAGCTCTCCCGTCTACTCGATAAGGTATGCGTCGTAGATGACTGCGTGCGTGTGAGAGAGGGTCAGACCGGGTCGAGAGCCAACGAGAGGGAGAGAGAGAAGCCGAATCGTCGGCACGAGGACGCACCTTGCCTCCCGCTCCTGATCCCGCTCCCAACAAACATGGCCTGGTTCAGCCACGCGAGGTCGCGCTTGGCGTCCGTCTCCATCTCGATGCACAGCCGGAACTTGTACTCGTCCGGGCCGGGCACGACGACGTCGCGGCCGTCCTTGTCCTTGCCGCCTCGCGCCGCGTCCGACAGGCGCTGGAGGACGTCGAGCGAGCCCGTGCGCCAGCCACGCGTCTGGACCTGGATGAAGGTGCCCGACGAGTGCTTGAGGAGGTACCGCGTCGAGAGCTGGGCGGCGAGAGGTGCGGAAGGGTGCGTCGGGGGAAGCAGGTGCTGAGAGTCTTGGCCGCCGGCTCTGCGGGTTTGAGTTCGACCGAGTCAGGGTGGGTGTCCTTACAGACCTTCTGAGAAGGGAGAGAGCGCCGCCGCTGGACGACGAGGGCGAGGAATGGAGACGACGTGAGAGGAACGCGGCCGACTCACACGACCTCGCCGCTGCCGAACGTCCCCTCGAAATGCCCGCCCGTAAAGTTAATCCAGTTGAACCTGCGAGCGTGTGCGGGAGCCGAGTGAGCGTCGTGTGCCCTGCCGCCGTACACCCTCAACCTCGGCCCCACCACCTCGAGCCGCGGCTGACATCCTGGCGACGCGGGCGCAACTCACTGGCCGCCGTCACCGTGGAGGCCCTCGCCGAGGCTGCGGACGGCCTCGAGGTCGCACACGAGGCGGAACGAGTGTCGCAGGGTTGGCTCGGGGATGGGGAGCGAGAGCGCGTGCTGGAACGCGGGTGGGGTGGACGAGGTGGCGCTGGCGGTATGCGAGGGCATGGTCGCTGTGCGGCGGGGAGACGAGCTGGTCGCAGGCGGCGTAGAGGAGAGCGGGGCGGAGCAGAGGAGAGCGAGGCGGCCGGGCGAGAGGTTCACCCGAGACGAGCCGGGCCGAGCCATTGAGGGACGAAGACGCCGGTCACACAGCACAAGCGGGCGCAGAGGGGCATGGACTGAGTGCCGGGCATGCTGTGCATCCCACCGGCAAGCCTTTCACAGCCAGGCGAGTTGTCTGGGAGGAGGAGAGGGCCGAGAATCGCTTCCCAGCTGATGACAGCTTCACGACGCTTCACTTTCACGAGAGGGCTCGCTGCTTGCAGAGGCTCAAGTTGAACCCTGCAGCTCGCCGTCGAGCTCAGCTACACGCCCGCAAAAGAGCGTCGAGACGAGCGGAGCCTCCTCGCCGGCTCTCGTCTCCCCACCTCGACTCTCCTCTACCATACCGCTCTCGAGAGAGACGTCGAGCATGCCGCCAGCCCCACTCAGCCTCTCGGATGAGCGCACCCCGCTCCTCCCACCACCGCCGCACGTCCCAGCACCCGCCGTCGCCCCTCCTCCACCTCGACGACCCCGCTCCCATCGTCGCCCGCACCAGCACCACGAGCCTCGGCCCCGGCCGCCTCGCTCCGAAGCGCTCTCTATCCCTGCCCTCGCCCGCGCCGCAGCCGCTCTCAAAGCAGGCCACCTCCCGTCCACCACCCAGCTCCTCGCCCTCGCCGACCTCCTCCTCGAGTCGCCCTTCCTGGACGACGCCGCGACGGGCACAGTCTGGGAGCCGACATACGGCGAGGGACGGCTCGGCACGGGCGGGCTCAGCCGCGAGGGCGAGAGGGTCCGCCTCGCCGTGCGCGAGTGCGTCGAGAGCGCGAGGGAGCTCGTCGAGGGGCGCAACCCGGTCGTTGTCGAGAGGGGCGAGGGTGACGAGGAGTGTGTGTCGGTGGGAGTGACGGGCGAGGGCGAGCTGGGGGACGGGTGGCAAGAGTTCTGGTGGCGGTACAGGGCGACCAAGGTCGATGTTGGTACGCCCGCAGCCTCTCTCCCTCTCATACGGCCAGCGACCTGCGCCTCCGCCTAGACCCTCGTCTTGACCTTCTACGTTCGCCCTACAGAGCTACCTGAGCCGCACCTCCCCGTCCCCGACCGTTCTACCCTCCAGCAAAGCACGACCTCGCTCGTCAACCTCGCCCAGCTCTTTCTCACCTCGCCCGCGCTCCAGTCCCTCGTCACCGACATCGTCCTCCTCGTCCGCGACACGGCCGACGTCGTCTTCGAGACGGCCCAAGCCAAGGACCAGCTCGGGCCCGAGACGGTCGACGCGCTCGAGCGGGTCGTTGAGGCGGCGGCAGAGGGGGCGGTCGGCGCGAGCGCGGTCAAGGCGCACGATGCGGACACGGGCACGATGAGCTCGAGGCCGGGCGCGAGGAAGGGCGAGGAGCGGGCTCGTGCCGCCGGCGGTCGAGACGAGGCGCTCGACCCGCCGGAGGTGGCCGCGCCGCTCGCGCCCGGCGACGAGCCCGCCGCGAGTGCGGCATCCAGTCGCGTCGAGGGGGCGAGTCGGGACAAGGCGGCGGGCAAGGTTGAGCAGAAGGACTCGCAGGCGCTGCGGGACGAGTTCGTCGACCGCGTCAAGAAGGTGCGCTCCTCTTCCTCTACTACTCGCCCTCGACCCGCGCAGTGGCTCACTCTCGTCGTCGCAGATCTTTCTGCAGCTCCAGGCGCAACCGCAGTACCAGCGCTCGATGCAGACCCTCCTCGCCCTCGTCCGCGACTACGTCCGCACCGCCGTCGACAAAGCCTCGCCTCGCGTGCATGTCGAGCCCGCCGCGTCTTCCTCCTCGCCTTCCTCGACATCCTCATCGCCCCACGTCGCTCAACCCGCACCGATCGACGACGCCGACCCGACGCGTCTGCTCCTCCCCCTCCTCGAGCCCTTTACCGGCGGGCCCGGCTCTCTCGTTCCGCTCCGCCGCGCCGCGCACGCCCTCCTCTCCTATCTCGACCCGTCCCGCCAAGATACGTCGCCTTCCCGCCTGCGCGACCTCGCGCACTCGGTCGACGCCCTCGTCGAGAAGGCGCTCCTCGAGCCCGGGTGGATCGGCAGCGCGGCGGCGCAGCGCCAGGTCGGCGAGATGCACGACGGCCTGCGGGCGCTCGCGCGAGACTGCCCTGTCCTCGCGCAGGACGTGCAGCGTGTTATCGCGTGCGTCGCCGCGGCGCTGCAGGTGCTCGCCGGCGACGAGCTGCTCGCGAGGTCGGTGCGCGCGCTCGCGGAGCTTGCGGGCGCGATCGGCGCGTGGACGATCGAGGCGGCAGGTACGGCGGCGAGAGCGGCAGGAGGTGAGGGCGTCGCGGCGGTGTGGGGCGACGTCGTCGAGTGGCTCGTGCCGAGAGTGCTCGGCGTGCTCAAGGAGATCCCGCTCCCTCGGTGCGCCCTACCTCTCTCTCAGTCTTCTCGCGACGGCCACGAGTACTTATGCGGAGCGCCCTGCAGGTTCGAGTTCGCGTCGCCGACCGTCTCGCTCGCGATCGACCCGCCGTCCCTTCTCGCCACTTCCATCATTCCCTCGTCCATCTCGCTCCAGCAGTCCACCTCCATCACGTACCTTCCCTCCTTCGGCTCAGCCTCGGCCGCCCTCCCCGTCTCGGCCTCGCACCCGTCCGACCCCTCCCTCGCTCGAGCACCTGCAACCGCACGGACCGCCTCTGCGGCCTCGACGCTCGTCGCCGTCGAGGGCGTGCAGCTCGAGATCAAGGACGTCGGGTACTACGCCTCGTACCACACGGGCATCCCGTGCGTCGGCGACGTCACCGAGTCGGGCCTGCTCGACCTGCGCTTCGGCCGCCCGAGCGCGCCCGACGGCAGCTCGAGCAGCGGCGGCCTCGGCTTCGCCCTCGCCACCTCGACGCCCCCGCCACCCGGCGCCCGCACCCTATTCACCTTGCAGCGTCACTCGACCGCCGTCGCGCTCGCCGACTTTCACCTCACGCCGCACTCGAGCTCGCACCCGTGGCTCGTATGGCTCCTGCGCCCGCTCCTTCGCGTCGCCGTGCGCAAAGCCGTCGAGTGTGAGCTGCGCGAGGCGGTGCTCGAGCCTGGGGCAAAGTGGGTCGGCCGCGTCGGGTTCGAGGTGCGCGAGCGGGCCGAGGAGCTCCGAGCGAGGGCGGTGGAAGAGGCGCAGGAGGGTCGGGAGCGGGACGAGAGCGAGATGGAGCGTCTGTGGCGCTGGGTGCGGGCGGCGTGGGACGTGCTCGCAGGGCGAGCCGTCGAGAACGAGGAGGACGAGGTCGACGAGTCGGGCAGCGACGCCTCGAGCGCGACGAGCGACGCCGACGGCGACGCTCACTCGGCGCGGCACCTTCACCTGAACCGTCACGGTGTCGCTATCGACCTCGAAGCCGCCAATGGCACCGCCGGCATCGGCTCCGAGGGCGTCGTCCTGCCCGTCGGCGACGCGCCGATCCCGCTCCCCGAGGGCCGCTCCCCGCCCAAGGGTCTCGCCCGAGCGGCGCGAGACGAGGTGCGGCACGAGGTGGAAGCGGGACAGGAGGCGGCCAAGGAGGCGATGCGCGCTGTCGGCGAGGTCGGCGAGGAGGCGGATCGGTGGCGCGAGCGCGTCGGAAGGGAGCAGAGGACGAGGCCGCACAGCTGGAGGAGCGAAGCGTTCGACATGCGGCGTGAGAGGGTGTAGATGCAGCTGGTCTGCAACACGTCCTTTCCCTGGCGGCACAGGAGGCTCGGGCGCGAGGTCGACCTTCTCTAGCTTTATCGTTCGGCAATGCAGCGCGCGTTTTGCTCGGCAGCTTCGCCTTCTGCACCTAGAGAGCTGAGAGGCTTGCGCCCCGTCGAGAGAAACCGAGAAGCAGGCCCGAGCGCCTCGTCCCTGCCCGACTCGACTCGACGCACCTCGAGCTCGACTTGGCCGGCCTGCGTCCTAAGCGCCGAATCTCGTCTCACGCAGCTCGTCACGCGCAGTGTTCCGACGGCGTGACATCGTACACGAGCGCGAGCGACAGGGCTTCGAGGCAGAGCCGCTGTCGAAGCCGCTCGAGCCTCGCTCGTCCGGCTTTGCGCGTGTTCTCTGCTCAGTCGCTCGACGCCGCTGCGGGCGGGTCACATTTGCATGATGCTCTGCACTGCTCGAGTCTGTTTCACCGTCTCGCGCGCATGCTTTCTCGCCGTCTCTCCGTGCCCGAAAAGCGCTTCGAGCGACGGCCCGGTTCAGCTTGTCGGCGGCTCTCGATCCGGGCTCGCGTCGGCGCTTGCAGGCCGCCACCTGGCGCATGCGTCTCTGCACGTCGATTGATGGCTGACGTGGCCGAGGAAGAGCAGTGGCGCCCGCTCTCGAGCGACTTTTCGCAGGTCCGCGTCCGACTCTCTGTCGAGCCAGAGCAGTGACTGCGGCCGCCTCTCTCGTTCCGGCTGTGAGATCGACTTGGTGGCACGCAGTCGTCTCGAGACGTCGATCGGCCTCTCTCGGCTAGAGCAGAAGTCGCAACGATGGCGGGTCGCAACGAGCCAAACTCGAGAGGGCGAGCGGATCGGCGTGATCGAGGGGAGGCGGCGCCTGCCCCTCGTGCGAGGTCGTGTGAGGACACGTGAAGGTGGATTTGCCGGGCGCACAGACCGCCAAGGGGCCGCCGCGCGCGCTCACAGCCTGCGTGTGACCATCTGCTCGATCGCCTGGGCGTCGCACGAGGCTACCGCGGGCTGGCCGGCGCACGACGTACGGATGACGTGGCGCCGAGGATGAGGAGGACGAGCGCACGCTGCCGAGCCAGAGCTCATCGTCGTCCTCGGACGCGCACTCGCTCTATCGACGTCTCGAGACGTCGTACGGCAGGGCAGGGCTCGGTAGAAGGCGGGCCGAGGAAAGCGCGTCGACCTTCTCCTCCTCGTCGCCCTTCTCGAGCGCAGAGTCGTGAGGCCGACCTCGCTCTGGCGGGACGCTCCGCTCGTAGGCCATATCAGACGGTGTCTCTAACGTGGCTCGAGCGACCGTGAGCGGCGCGAGAGCTGTTCGACACTGTAGAGCAAGGCCAGTCTGGTTCGAAACGCGGGCTCGAGCGCACTGATTTTCGAGCACGGCGCCCTCTGCACGCGCGCCGCGTCCGCAGTTCTACTCGCATGGGCTTCTTAGGCTCTGTGAGCAGGCGGGACTCACACTCAGCGATGCGTGAGGAGCACGCAAGTCGCGAGAAGGTGGGTCGACGTGGCGCGCGCGCGCTTCTCGTTTCGCTTTCGCTCGCTCTCTCGCCTCGGCTCGTCGCACTTGCGGCGCGTCCCTGCGCTCAGGCATGCAGTGGAAATAGCTCGAGTCGCCGGTGACCTCCTCCCAGGCAGGTGTGCAGTGGGGGAAGGAGGAGGAGGGCGGATGCGAGTGACCCGATGCGTGTGGCGTCTTTTTAGAGAGTGGGGTTTTCCTTTGCCGAACCGGCCAGGTTGATCGGCTCGCTTCTGTCATCGAGTGGTGCGGCGACGGTTCGGTCTTGTGTGGCTTCTGCCGGCTGCCGTTACGCCTCGCACCAGTTGGCTGTAGATGTGTGGGCGGAACCTCGGGGGTTCTGCGCAACGCCCGCACGCTTCTACGGCTCCCTGGCCAGGTTCTACCTTTTTGTTTTGCGTGGGTCGGCTGCGCACTCGCCTCGCCCCGCCACGTCGACTGCGCACCTTGAGCAGTCGGCCGACAGCAAAGCGGGTCCGAGAAGAGCAGAACTGCGAGCTCGAGCGCGACCTTCTCCTCCTCGTCCTCCTTCGCGAGCGCAAAGAGGAGTCTCGTCGACTGCTCGTTGCAGGAGAGCGGCTCTTTCTTCTGGAATAGAGCGCACTTTCTCGTCTCACTTCGCAGAGGCATCGAGAGGTGCTGAGAGAGAGCCCTCCTTGCACGAAAGCTGCCCCGAGAACCGGCTCTCTAAACCAAAGACGAGGCGCGCACAGCGGAACGAGGGGTGCAGGAGAGAGGGAAAGATCTAGTCTGTACAACACAGGGAGAGGGAGAGAGAGAGGGAGGGGGAGAGAGAGAGAGAGAGAAAGGGAAGGCGCTCGAAGTTGAGGAGGGACGAGGTGGGAGAGCCGCTCAGGCCTCGAGGTCCTTCTCCTTGTCGGTGGCGGCGACGGGGCGGCCTGCGAGGTCGTCTCCCTCGACGGCGTTCTGCGTGTCGCTGAGGTAGATGTTCTTGGCGAAGAAGGCGAGGACGACTGGCACGACGGCGATGGCGGTCGCGGCGATGAGGAGCGTCCTCATGACGGCGGCGTACGACTCGATGATGGCCTCGTACGCCGGCGGGTTGCTCGTCTTGTAGGTGACGGCCGTCGTGATGGACCCGAAGACCGTCGTGATCTCGGTCGAGTTGAGGAGGCCCGAGAGGCGGTTGGCGAGCTCGTTGGGCATGTCGTTGCGCCAGATGGCCGAGGCCAGGGCGGTGCCGACGGCGTTGCCGATCTCGGCAAAGAGGAGGACGAGCGCCGTGACGGTGGCGACGTCCTGGTGCGGGCTCGACGCCTGGGCGAGGAGCTGGCACGACGCGCTCGCGATGCCGCCGCCCAAGCCCTGGAGGACCTGGACGATGACGATCTCGAACGTGCCGGCGTGCGCGCCTCGGCTCTTGATCATGAGGCCGACGCCAAGGAGGCGCACGCAGAGGCCGACGACGAGGAGCCACTTGGTGCGGCGGAACTTGAGCTGGTAGAACCCGGCGCCGATCGCGCCCAACGTCAACGCGAGCGTCTGGGCCTGGGTGAAGTAGCCGATCTCGCTGACGCTCCAGTCGGACTTGACGACGGTGACCCAGGAATACAGGAAGGTGAACTGTCAGGGGCGAAGCAGAGTCAGTAATTAACCCGCTCGGCGACGATGCGGCGGAAGAGGGACGCACCTGGAGGTAGAACGAGACAAAGTCGAAGAAACCGATGAAGGCGGCGACCATGATGGTCGGGTTGCGGAAGAAGCGGGCCGGGAAGAGAGGCTTGACGGCGACGCGGGCCTCGAAGATGACGAACACGATCAGGGTGACGCCGCCGACGACAAGGAGCGTGATGATCTTGTACGAGTCCCACCACAGCTTGCCCTTGTTGACGAGGGTGAGCGGCAGGAGGACGCAGGCCCAGCCGGCGCCGAAGAGGACGAGGCCGAGGGCGTCGATGTCGAGCGCCCAACCGAGGGCGCGCTTGCCGAGCGAGCGCGTGTCCTTGGCCTGGGCCGCAGTGCCACCGGTCGTCTCGAGAAGGTCGGTCGAGTCGAGGCCGAGCTTCGAGGCCTGCGAAAGGAGAACGAGAGGTCAGAGGCGAGTCAAGGTGGGGAGGAAGAGCGAGGGGACGTACACGACGCTGCGCCCAAGCGAGGGTGCCGATGATGGGCGCACACACGACCGGGATGAGGATGATGAAGACGACGTAGCCGTAGCGCCAGTTGTCCGTGACGAGGATGCCCTCGTCGTTCAGGTGCGGCTTGAGGATGCCCTGGGCGATGTTGCCCGAGACGAACGCGTTGATGAAGTACCAAATCGACACGAGCGACGACATGAGGCCACGCCACCTGTGTGTGCCGGAGCGTGAGTACGCGACCGCTCAGATGGACGGGAACGAGGGGAAGACGCACCGCAGGTTCGTGCAGTCAGCGATGACGATCTGGATCAGGATCTGGAGCGACGCATAGCCGACCTGAACGATGACGGGCCGCGAAAGGAGAGGGAACAGGAGAAAGGTGAGTCGGCCGTCCAGACTGTGGAGCTCGAGGAACAGGCGACGGACGTAGTAGATGACGGCGCCGGCGGCGTAGGTGTGCACGTTGCTGCACGCGGCGATGATGATGAAGCCGACCGTGTAGAAGACGACGCTCATCGTGAGCGCCTCGGCGCGGCCAAACACGTCGGCAAACTTGGCCGAGAAGGGCTTGGTGACGGCGAGGATGATGGCCTGGGCCGTCGCGATGGCGCCGAGGAGCGAGTGCTGGGCGAAGGAAGAAGTCGCGTATGCCGCGTACTGCCACGTCGTCGAGCCCTCGAGCGAATAGATGTAGGCGGCGAGCGCGATGCTCACGAAGAGCACGATCTTCGAGTTGCGGCCCCTGCGCTCGAGAGACGGGTCAGTTTGCGTTGCTCGTCGTTGATAACATCGTGTTCGTCTCGTCGCGCTCGCTCACATGCTTCGACGGGAAGACGAGGAGGACGAGGAGAAGGACGAGGAGGAAAGGAAGGGGAGGAAGGGAGGGAGGGAAGGAGGGGACGAGGAGACGCACCAAACACGGTTGACGCTCTCGACTTTGAGGACGCCCTTCTGCGTCTCGACGGCATAGGCTGGAGGAGCGACGTTCCCGCCCGTCGTCTGTGTCGAGGAGGGAGGGGAGGAGAATCCGATCAGCGATCGCTCGACGAGAAGCTGCCGAGGACATGCTGCGGCGCGGGCTGCACCTCCGCAGGTCGTCCGACACTCAAGCGTGGAACGACGACTAGCGTCGACGCCTAACCCAGAGTGGAAGAACTCGGGGCGCACCTGAGGCTCGGGAACGGCGTTGTGCGCCGTGGGCAGGAACGCTGTGTGCGCGCGCTCGCGCTCGACGTTGCCCGCAACCTCGAGGTTCGACTTGATCGTGTCGTCGTGCGAGGACGTCGACATGGCTGCTCTGGCTCGGGTGGCGGGAAGAACGAGGGAGGAAGCAAAGAGCGAGCTTCGCCGAGCCACGCGGAGAGTCTCGCCATCTGATTGTCGAGGCGATCGCGTCCGAGCTCTAGCGTCGACTCGGCATCCGGTTTCGCTCGCTCTTTGTCGTCGGTGTCTCGTAGGCAGACCGTTTGGACTTCTCAAGCTGGACTTGGCCGTCCACACCGCCCGCTCGGCCCTCCTCGCACGTCGCGACCCGCTTCTCCTGCGAGCAAAAGGTCCCGGCAGCGTCCGGCGTCCGCTCGAGCTTCTCTGGCTGCGCGGAACGGCCGGACGGAGCGCTCGAACCGAAGCTTGGCTCGTGCGGGGCTCGACGGCCAGGAACCCGCTCGAGCCGGGGACCAAAGGCGACCGCGAGCTCGCCAACGACACATCTCTCGAGGGCAGGAGCTGGGGGACGACGAGCTACATTACGACACGGCGAGAGAGAGAGTCTAGAGAATAGAAAGTGGATGAAGAGAGGGTCCGTTCACTGCTCGCCCTCGCCAAAGTAGCCCTCCTTGAGGAGCGACTGCACGACCTCGCCGCTGCGGACGGCGAGCACGCTGTGTCGGGAGAGAGAGGGAGCGAGTCAGGACGAGGCCCAACAGAGGAGGAGAGAAGAGGGAGCGCACCTGAGGAGCGAGTCGCTGATGCCGTGCGTCTTCTCGCACGCGCCCTGGAGCCAGACGGTCGGGCGGAACTCCTTGCCCGAGGCGGTCGTCGTCGGGAGCTGCAGGCGGTAGTTCTCGGCGACCGGGTACACGGGCGCCTTGGCGGCAGGCGACGTGCGCTTGACGCCGTGGTCGGGCGAGGCGGGCGAAGGAGGCGAGCTCGCAGCGGTGGACGGGGTCGGGTTGGTCGAGAAGCGCGACGGCGAGTCGTACCGGGCCGAGGGAGGGACCGACGACGACGCGACCGAGGCGGCACGGCTGTTGCCCGCCTCGCTGCGGCCGACGCGCGCCGAGAAGGCGGCTGCAGGGAGGTCGAGCGATGGCGGGAGGGCGAGCGGCGAGGACGAGCGCTCGTCGTCGGCGGTGCCGGTCGCGAACAGGTCGCTGAGCGGGATGGTCGCCTCGTCCTTGCGCTCGGAGGCGATCGTCTCGGAGGCGGTCGACGGCGGGAAGAGCATGTTGCGCCACCCCTGGCGGTCGTAGCCCGTGCCGCAGACGACGACGTCGTACTCGACCTCGCGAGCCTCGCGCGTGATCGGGTTGAAGAGCGACAGGCGGATGGCGGGCGACGACGAATCGGTCGACACGGCGTGCGCCTCGCGGATCTCGGTGTAGGGGCGGACGTTCAGGCGCGGGTCGTGGGCGAGGTCCTTTGCCGCCGTACCCGTGCGGGCAGCGATGTCCTCCTCGACCTTCTGGCTGTACATCGTCGTATAGACCTGCAGTACACGCTCGAGTCAGTCTCCGCCAGGCGAGGACGACAAGGAGAAGGGAGAGAGGGACGCACCGACTCGAGCGTCTTGGGGTTCACGATCGAGTAGTTGGTGCTCTTGGCCTCGCCGAGCACGCGCTCTCGCTCCTCCTCGCCGAGCCTGAACATGGCCTGGCTCATCGACGGGTCAAACACCTCGTTGGAGAACTGGCCCTCGTCTGCGGTCGGGTCGAGCAAGTCAGTCGCGGCCCGAGCAAGGAAGAGACAAAAGGGAGAGTGAGCGCACCAGTCGGGCGCATCGACGAGTTGCGGAGAAGCATGTCGACTTGCGGTCGCTCAAAGTCGGCGTCGGCAGGGAGGAAAGGCGCGAGCTTGGTGCGCAGGTGGAGGAAGCACTCGGCGGCCGACTGGCCGGCGCCGACGACGGCGAGGCGGATCGGGCGGCGCTCGCGGATGCGCGCCTCGACAATGTGCGGGAGGATGGCGTCGACCTTGTCCTGGAACTGGGCCGTGTGGAGGATGCGGTCGGTCGCGACGAGCTCGGGAGCGGCGAGCTGCGGCGGGATCTTGGGCGTGCCGCCCGCCGAGACGACGAGGTTGCGGGTGAGGCGAGTCATCGTTTCGCCGGTGGCGACGACGCGGGACGTGACCTTGAGGACGCGAACGCCGGCACCCTCGCCGTGCTCGTCGGGGCGGAGCGCGTCGACGGCGACGACCTCCTCGCCGTACGCGACGTCGCCGTGCTGTTGCCGCAGCTCGCCCTGGACCTTGTTGGCGCACCACTGGAGGTAGTCGGCGAACTCGCGGCGGGAGGGCGTAAAGGTGGAAAGCGAGATGAACGAGGCGAGGCGGGACGGGGTGAACGAGGCGAGGTACGACAGGAAGGTGTAGGCGCTCTGTGGGTTTCTGAGGGTGGCCAGATCCTTTAAAAAACTGTTACGGTGTGTGGGTCAGTAAGGCCGACAGCTCGGACGAGCTGACCAGGGCAGAGGAACGGGGGGAGAGTGGACGCACGAGATCTGCATGTGGCTGCCCTCGAGCATCATGCCCGGGTGCCACTGGAACCGCGGGAACCGCTCGACGAACGCACAGCGCAGTGGCCGCTGCGTGGCGGCCTCGCCGCCTTGCCGAGCCCGCACCGCCTCGTCAACGCTGAACCCGAGCGCGTCCTGGAGGCCACCGAGGGACGAGAAGGTCGGCGGGCGTGGTCGAGGGGCGTCCGAGTTGTGCTCGACGAGCGCGATGGCGAGCGCGAGGGCGGCAGGGCCGAAACCGATCGCGACGAGGTCATGGACGACGTCGGGAGGCGAGGACGACGAGGGCGAGTGGCTGGCGGCCATGGCGGACAGGGGCGGGTCGCGCGGGTACAGGCGTGGACTGGTGGTTGAAGAGAGGAGAGGTGGTCTGGCGAGCGAGGGTGCGCGGGCGTGCGAGGACAGGCGGACGAAAGAGCGAGGAGAAAGTGCGAGGACGGCGCCAGCGCCTCCACACTTGGTCCGGAGGCGGGCGATGATCGACGCTTCCGCGACGCGCTGAGGTCAACTTTCGCAGCGCATCGTCCTCTCTGCGTCTCCCCTTCGAGCGTTTCGCCGCCTCTGTGGCATCGGCGCCTCGATATAGACTCGCGCTCATTGGCTGGCGGACGTGCGCTTAGCAGCTGAGCATCGAGAGAGCTCGGGGCGTGCGCTCGAGCCCGGTTCGTTCCCTCGCACCTCACCTCGCGCCGCAAGCTTCCGCGCTCTCGCTCGAGTTGGGCTAGCTTGCGAAGACGGAGGCTGGGCAGGCGCTAATCTGACAACGCCGACCCTGTCTCACTGATCATCTCGCACCATCTGCTCGGCTCCGCTGTGCCCAAGCTTCGACTCTCGCTTTCGCCGGCTCGACTCGCGACCGCGGCACGGAAATGCTCTCGCTCTCCCGAGGCCCGAGCTCGTCGAACATCGCTTGCAGCAGCCGCTGAAGCACCGCGGCCCCTTCCCGCGGCCTTCTCAAGTTGCCGACCGGCGACGGCGAGCCGCCTGAGCGTCGCAGCTGCTCAGCGCGAGCGGTGGCCGACTGCTACAGCTCGTGAAGCTCGCGCTCGGCGACTGCGCGCTCGCGCCCGAGCAGGTCGCAGCCTGTCGCGCTCAGAAAGCCCTTCTCGGCTGCAGGAGGTCGCCGAGGCTCGTCAATCAAGCTGCGACGACGTATCTCGCGCCACGACAGGGAGAGAGAGAGAGGGAGTTGGGACGCACTGATGAAGCCGTCGATGAGGCGACCGGGCACGACCTCGCTCGTGTCGGCAAAGACGCTCACGTCCGGCTCGAGCGGGTCCGACGCGGCGAGGGCGAGGGCGTCGAGTGACTCGAGCTCTTCTGCGAGAGTACCCGACCAGCCGGCGAGAAGCTCTGTCGGGTCGTGTTGCGGGAGAGATCCGGTCGTGGAGGTGGAAGAGGAGGAGAGGATGTGGTCGACGAGGGCGACGACGTAGACCTGTCGACGCGAGCACGGGTCAGTCGAGCGGTACACGGACAATAAGAGGAGAGGAAGGAGGGGCGCACCTTTGCGCCGAGCTTCTTGGCTGTCTCTGCGAGCATCCAGCTTCCGACGGGAGCGCGCACGTCCCCTCCCTTGCCCGGCAGGACCGCCTCGACCCCGAGGAGGACGACCGCCTGCCCCTCGCCTCGCGCCCTGATGCCGCTGAGCACACTCGCCGCCGCATTGTCGGCCGCGACGCAGAGCCGGACCCGGGTGCCGCCGAGCCCCGTCGGCGGCGGCCTGCCAAAGAGCCCGCCCTCGGCTCGAGTGAGGAGGCGGTGGAACTCGCCGTACGCCTCGCCGACCTGCGCACCGAGAGCGTCGACGCTCGAAGCTCCACCTGGGCCGCCGAGCGTTTGCAGGACCCGCTCGGGCAGTCCGCCTACTGGACCTGCCGCAGGTCCGAGCGGGTGCGCGCGCCACGGGTTCTCGTAGCTCGTCGAGAGCCCGCGCAGCTGCTCGGGCTTGTCGCGCGAGGCGTGTAGGACGTGGTGGAGGCGAGCGGCGAGTGCAGCGCCGGTGCAGAGCGGGCGCGACTCGAAAAGGGTGAGGGCGAGCGTGTTTGGTCGGGATGCCCACCTGCAGGAGAGCTCGATGTCAGGGCACGCTCGTATTGCTGATAAGGGACGAGAAAGAGGGACGCGCTCGAGCTCGGCGGCGTGCGTCACGGCCTGGACATGCGGGTTGAGGGTGCCGTACCTGCGCAGGGAGGAAGGTCAGCCTCGGCAACAGTGGAACTGGGAGGGGAGGCCGTGCTCACGGGTGCGCCACGATCGTCGTCACATAGTGTACGAGCTCTCGCAGGACGCCTGCGACGAGAGGATCGTTGCCCGCCGCCAGCACATGCAGGATCGGCCGCTTCTCGAGCGACGCCCGCTCGAACACCTTGGCGACGGCGAGCTTCTCGAGAGATGCGGCCGCGAGGCGGATGCGGGTACCCTCGGACAGGATCGAGTCGGTGATGGAGCGGAGGAAGGAGGGAAGAGGGATGTCGACGGCGGGAGAGCGGGCGAGGTGCTTGAGGGGGAGGAGGATGCGCAAGAAGAGCGCCGACATGGTCGAGGCCGAGGCAGTCGAGACGCGCTCGAAGTGATGTGCGACGACTGGAGGGAAGAGAGAGTTAGTGAGGCGGTCGAAGATGCGCGAGAACATTCTGTGTTTCTCGAGATTCCGTCCAGT